TTGCGGGGTTAAAAGTCTTGTCACGTAGAATCTAAGGCACCTCCACATTTACCTAAATGGAAACTTGATGAGAAATCGATACTAAACGTGACTTTATCGCGAAAACCTTAGACGGCGAGAACTATATGAATACTGAGCAGTGGCCAAAGTTTTCCTATGACGCGAGCAGTCATTAACAAAATGGATATTCAAACCGTAATAGCTAGAGTGGAGTAATTGCCAGTAAAATAAGGGATCAGTTTCATTACCCTGGACTATCGGGTTCTTCCAGACTTAATAAGCGCGTAAACCTATATTTTACTTTCATTTTACGGTCCAAGGGGTATAAAGTACGATATGGAGTAGATAGAATCTGTGCAGTAGCCAAGAGTGCTACCTTCATATAACCCTAGTCTAGTTACTGTGTACAATGTAACAAGTAATTTCTTGGTCACTTTGTAACTAATATACTGTGCAAAAAAACAGTACTTTTCGTGGTCTAGGTATTACAGTCAAACACCAGAAGAAAAATCCAACTAATATTATTAGAAATAATCAACTGTTTTACCTTGTCTTCAAAAAAAAAAACGTATGATGGGGTACATAGTGAAATAATGAAAACAGCATGAACGAAATCAATAAAGAATAGTGTGAACAGTAGTGTGAATTTCGTCAGATTATATTATGATGTAGTTAGATGTAGTCACATTACAATCTAACCTAACCTACAGTTCGTTTACAATCTCGCGTTATATTATAAACTGACGGAGTTTACAATTTCACATTGTCATTTATACATGAAGTAGGCATTCTGTACCTATTTTACTACCATTTTGCAAATAAAATGTGAACATTGCATTTTGAAAAAAGGACCCAGATTAACTTTTCGCAATCATAATGAACAAAGGCAGGTATTCGAGTTTTATGACCCGTATCAAATGGTTGATACATTTTAATAGGTTTTGCCTTTTTCTAGTCAGGTAATTTTAAGTAAAAAACAAAGGTAAATAATGACTGTATATTGTTGTCATATAGGTACAAAGTGTACAATGTTTCTATGTAACAAAAAATATGAAAGTGTCACCTAACAGTAGAGGCTTAAAGTTCAAGTTTTTAAGGTTTTTAAAACTGATTATCCAAAACTTATTAATGATTCATGAAGTCTGATACCAGCGATCTAGTGATTATTTTATAATGAAAAACTTCTTTGGATGCACAGTCATATTTACACAGTTAAGTACTAGTCAAAAGGGTATATTAGTTCAAGTTCATTTAAAATTAGGTCAACAAATTGTCTGCAATACACATCCACTAGGAGTGGTTGTTATTCCGGAGTTTCACCAACTAATTCCGGAAATCGTTTTAGGTTTGATCCCTTGACATGCCTTAACGACCTTCATCATTATGACGTAGGTTGGACCCGGAATGCTTAATCTGTTGTTTTGGGAAAAGGACTGATACTCGTATATCGGGAACGGGAATTTGGTCAAACATTCTTTGCCAAAATGTTAAATATGATTTAAATTAGAATCAATTTCTCTTTTTTTTGTTTAAAGAATATTAGTAATTTGTTTTTGCACAAGCTAGCTCCTTGTACTAAGCTTAATATGCTTGATTCACGAGTGGGCTCACTACGATAGTCGAATGTCAGCGGGGTTGAACCCACGCTCCTCGAATGACGAGTCGGCCAGTCCGACCACTTCATCGTTAGGCTATCGTGGCTTCATATGCCTAAATAAAAGCAAAAATATGTAAATTGTTCTGAAAACAGATAAAAAGAAAAGAAATGGAGATCCTGTACGAACCCCAATAATTAGATTGCACATTTTTAATCCCACTAAAAGGTCATTTAGCTAAAAGCAATAACATTCCAGACACCACAAATGCTCGGATATCGTCAAAGTACATTCACACCCGTATTCACAAACATTACTATGAGGTCTCACAGTGCGCGTGGACGCACAGAGCGACACATGAACCAATCACAGAGCTCTATTCAACGCTGTGCGTTCGATTTGCTGTTTCACTTAAGCAAGCATCGTTTGTGAATACGGGCGTTAATCCGCAAACATACGAGTACGTAATAAAGAAACAAGAACTTTGTTTTAACCCCGATAATAACATAGGAACGATCAAAGGAAAAACGCTAGAAATGGTTTATGAGATCACACGAAGGAACGCTAATTGCATTAACATAATCGATGTGAGAGCGGAATTTTGCATGCTGCTAGTGTGATAAGGCTCTCAAGGAAATCTATTTTGCTACGCCTTATAGTGCATATAAATACGGGCCAAGCAAGGACGTGCGTGCTACCCTCTCTACTTTTTCCTATAGGGTGCGTAAAATTTATGATCCATACAAATGAAGCACAAAATTGACGTTGCTTTCAAAAAACCTTCAAAATAAGTGAAGAATGGCATATTAAAATAAAAAATTGGTTATAATTTCACAAAAACTTATGCATCAACTAAGCAGTTACTTGCAATATAGCTGTGGAAAAATAGACAAAGACAGGGGGTGATGGCTAATGTTTTATTTTACAAACGGACATGACAAAAAATAAATTAACGTCACGATACAAATCTTTATTAGCTGCACCAGCAAGTCACGAGGGGAAAGCAAACGTATGCCTACCGTTCCAATGTCATAATATTTGTACAAGCCCTGAAACATTTCACGCAAAATGCTACGCATAAAGAATAACTGTTTAAACATTGTTATGGTCTATTTTCCTCGCCCAAGTAAACAACGCATTACCCGAAATGCCCCTAAAATTGTCGTGGGCTTGTCGTCAGGCAATGTTAGTTTTGCCATCCACCACCACTTAACCCACCACCACCCATGGTTCTTCCTGCCTCACGGCGTACGAACCGAATCTCGGGAGAGCGCGCGGGTACTTGCTCTGGGCTCTTTTCCCCGGGCGCTTTGCTTGACTCCCAACAAATTTATCTGATCCATGTCCCTTCTCATAGTCAATTCTCCCCCTTCTGGGGCTTGACACCACAAATACGGTACTTCGCGTCGGGCTGCTATCGTTGATAAATGTCATCACTTCTTCTCATAACTTCGATTGTATGCCAGGAGTGCGCGAACTCGCGCAGCTGCAGCGCGATCCAGTTACTGCGACTACTCGTGAGGTCCTGGTGATAAACAGGTCCTTGCTCGGCTCTCCGTATCGCATCCTCTGTTGCGGAAAATAGTGGACATTTCTAGCATTAAGTAGTGTTATAAAACATCGTTCGTTCGTTTCAGCCGAAAGACATCCACTGCTGGACAAATGCCTCCCCCAAGGATTTCCACAAAGACCGGTCTTGCGCCGCTCGCATCCAGGCACCTCCCGCGACCTTCACCAGATCGTCGGTCCATATGACATATTTCAGAAAAAATATGCCAGAGATGAAGGGGTAAATAAGGTTACAAAAACATTCGGTCCGCTGATAATCCATTACGTATTACGCTGACACTAATCTTACTAAAGAGCTTACGAAGTACGAGTATTGAAACGATTTTACTCTCAGCAAAATAATATAGATTCATACTAAAGATATTATCACACTGCCTAAACAAAATCTTACTAACATTATAAATGCGAAAGTTTGTAAGGATGCATGTTTGTTTCTCATTCACGCAAAAACTACTGAACGGGTTTCGATGAAACTTTACAGAATAATATTATGCATCAGAATAACGTATAGATGATGATTTATGATCTGTGACAAATGTCACGCGAACGAAACCGTGGGCAAAAGCTAGTATGACATACTGTAGCGACGAAACAACATACACACATTAATAGATACATATGAATTTACGCCTATGTACCTTGGGTTTTAACCCAAACATGTATGTTCACTACACTCACAAAGGTGGGAAAATGCCCACAACAGTATTTCACCCGCAACCGCATTTGAACTAACGGCCAAACCCTCTATTCTGAGGTAACAAAACAAAACACAACTCAAATATTCCGACTTATAACCCAAAGGCGAGCTTCAAAGGACAATCAAAGGCGCCTTACTATGAGAGCTCTCGGACCTAAGTACACAGTTTTAACATCTTCGGCTGAAGACGTCCAAAGAAAATGCTTTTGTGAGCCCACTTCAGTAGAAGTAATTAAGAGCATCTTAAAATACGTTCGTTAGTGTCATTGTTAGAGTCAGTACTTACGAAAATTTTGTACTTACAGAATGTTGATTTGGGTTTGGTTCCCATATTTTGAATCTGATGCCTATTTAGAATTAACGTGCTTTATAGCTGAATTTTGACACACATGAAAAAAGGGACCACTCCCATCCAACAGTAGTAAAATTTCTAAGGGCAAAATGTTTTGTAGATCAGTAATTAATCACAGAATTAATTCAGCAATAACTTAATTACCGCTGGAAAGTAGCGTGTTTCGTCAGAATAAAACATTTACATAAATATTTTGAATAATAAAAGTAATTAATGGAGTATCCGTGACGCCACATAATTTTGTAACCTAATTCCGATCTCATTTATGAGCGGAAATTAAAAATGTTTAGAAGAGATACTTGAATTGAATTATCAGGTTGACCTAATTTCGTATTCGCTGTATATCTCGATACTTTTAAATAGGTACATCCTACATTACATTGTAATTAAACTTACAAAACTTGTATGGCACTGACCTATGAAGTATTCTAGTTTAAAACTAGTGAATTTAATTGATTTTAGTACCAAAAGTTATTACTTGTTGTTGTTCTACTCGTCAATCATTTAAAATTTCATTTTGTATAGGTAATAATATTATGTATTCAAAACGGAGAACTTTCGAATTTGTGCGCTGAAATCTTCAAATGAAATGTTTACATTTCTATTGGCAATGAAAACCGTTTTTCAAGATACTAAAATTTTCACACATTATTGTGTGAGTGTTTTACCTATTGTTTAAATAACCTTGATTTGCTTTAATTTGTCTTGCAAATATTATAAAGTATTTGTGTAAGTTAATTACTGATATAATCAACTTTAGCGAATGTTGTGTCAAACTTATACCGACCTGTTGAAAGTAGAGCTCTGCCAGATCCCGGATACGGTTCTATCATGAATATTTAATGTCTTGGAGCATCTTTCACGGCGATTACTCTTGAACACGACATAACACTCATTTACATGTTTCGTATTGTCACTTGAACACAGATTCGGGTGGTTCGTAGTACGCGGTCGCGGCGAGAGCGGGCGAGTGGCGAGACTCGCGGTTTGGGCGGGCGGGCGTGTTGGACTGACGGCGGCGTTGGGCGGACAGCAGGAACCAAATCGGACGGGCTGGGAATGCAGCTTGTTGCCGGGTAACGTCTACAAATGGCACGCGAGTCGGCTCACGCTTTGTCTTTATTAAAAAATGTTTTCGCAATTTATTTTGTGTTGGCAACATTAATTGTTCGCGTCTTGTAGGATCCCCCGAACAAGAGCCGAATTACACGGCAATAAACAGAACAAAGACTTTTATACCTTGCAATAAAGTAGGTAATTTTGATTGAAATCACTGAATCACTGTTTAAAAACTTTGATTGTTCGTGGCACTTTTACCAATTTTTGAAGTCTTAATAGTGATGCAATCTAGAAAATTTTAGCCTGATATAATTTAATTTGAAGGTTTGCATCATCTTTCCCTCCGAGTTTGTTTTTAGCTTTGAAAGTAATTATTTATCAGATGTGCTAAAACCATTCCAGTGTACCTTTTTGCAAAAAAAAGTAACAGTCTTATTATAAGAATACTGTACTAACTAATACATTTAAACATAGTAGAGTAGACAAGTAAAAGCAAAAAGTGCAAGGTTAACGTCCCATGATGTCTGTGATATTCTCCTATGTTTTATAGAGGAGCCGCAGCTTAATTATCTTGTTAATTTTCTCTTTGTTATGTTCAACTTTACATGTGAAGAAAAACTTTTCAGGTTGTGAACTTTCCCAATTTATAGATATAGGTACCCCCTTACTAATAAAAAGTTACACTGTTACACAGTTGTTGAACACTGTTTTAAAAGTACATTTCCATACTAAACGTCACTTTAAAACACTGATCAACGAGCGTGTAAGTTTTATTAGTAAGGGCGTTAATATTTTGCCTATAGGGCAGAAAATCGAGTGGCGACCACGGGCTGACATAATGTGGGCAGGCCCCTCACTAGGTGGACCGACGATCTGGTGAAGCTCGCGGGAGGTGCCTGGATGCGGGCGGCGCAGAGCCAAATCCTTTTTGGGAGAGGAAATCAGTAAGAAAACCACTGATTTTTATTAGTAAATAGAAGAAGTTTAACACACGCCCTTGGCACTAATAAAACGAGTTTTTTTTAGTTTTCCTACAAAAAAAAAATTAAGTGATTTGTCGTGTATGACTCTGCTTAGAGTGGCTGGTGATATTATTTTGACATCATAAACATTTTAAGCGTATTTTCTCCTGTTAATAAAAAAAAGTAAGGTCAGAAACCTTAGAGTCAGGAACTCACTGGAACTCAGGATGTATTTGGGTAGGTGGGACGGTGGTAGGGGTGTAGGTCACCGCGCTTTAAAAAGATATCTTAATGTTGGCTTACAAAACTCTTTGATATTTTTTTCTAAAAAAGAAGAGCAATATGTCAAAGGAATTTGCACGATGACAGCGTGAATTTTACGGATCGAAAAGTCGATTTTTAGGTTTAGGCAACGAATGTTTTAGTTTTATCTTACAGAAAAAAAAACCGCAAGTAAGATGTTGTACGTATACAATTTATTTATTTTCACTAAACATACTGTTGTTTATTCTCTTCTTCTTCACTGCATGCGCCATGTTCATGGTCCTGTCAAAACCAAGATCTGAATTTTAGGGTATATTAGACAATGGAAATTCAAAATACAATACCCTTAGACTATTTTCATTTTTCATATTCTTCTTTCAAGTGGCGGAAAACCAGAAGAGCCTATGTCCATTTTTCAAAAGTTGAAAACCTTCCTAGCTGTGCACTATAGAGGCGTGGTATGTTTTGTAGCGCCCATCGTACTTATAGGAATCCTTGCGCCCTTCCCGCCAAAGGTAAGATTGTCCTTTTTTTTTGTAGTTTGAGATGTTACAACTGGGGCAATCATGACCCTCATAATAAGACTTTATGAAGTGCCATAAGCGGTGCTATAAGCGTCAAAGTGATGTGGTGATCCCAATTAATTATTCATATAGGTACCTAACATATTGCTTGTATCTTAACATGTGTTGGCGCTCTTGTAAAATGTATGTTCAATGTAAAATGAGATAGTAGTTTATTTTATGAAATTTAACGCACAGACTAGTGACTGCCTCGTCACATACTTCATCTACAGTTTTCTATTGCAGAAACACCAATGGTGTGGTTACACCCTAGTGCTCATGGGCATATATTGGTTAGCAGAGTGCATTCCCCTGGAGATTACCTCATTTTTGCCTGTCCTCATATTCCCGCTGACTGGGGTCATGACTACGGCGGAAGTATGCAAGGCATACATGAATGTAAGTATACACCACTTTTCAACAGTGCCGGATTAAGCCAGCGCGGGGCCTGTAGCAAATTTCTATCATGGGGCCCTTGGTTTGCTTTAGGTTCTCAAGTTTAGGGTATTAAATGAAACAAAACTGGCTGAAAACCAGTGTTGCAAGGATCTCTCCTTACAACGTAGACTGAGCCAGGTCCAATTGCCTTCGGTGTACTTCATATTATTATAGTTGTAAGTCTAACTACCTGTACCTGTCTAATGGTTCGAAGGTTTTTTTTTTTTTACAAATGAACTTTTCTTGATTTAATGTGTGCTAGAGATAACACTTTCAATATCAACTTTTTTAAGCAATACATGCTCTAAATTCAACAAAGTAAGATAATTAAGACGTTCTTGTCCCATCGTGTTCCTTAATTCATCTATCTATGTATATTCTATACTTATAATAAATCTGTAGAGAGGTCAATTCTGTACATGAAATATATTTTCAAAATAACTATCAGGGGGTGATTAGTGATCGATACTGATGCCAAAAATGCAATCAGTAAAATTTTTGTCTGTCTGTCTGTATGTTCCTTATAGAAACAAAAACTGCTCGACGGATTTTAACGAAACTTGATACAATTATTCTTCATACTCCTGGGCAGGTTATAGTATACTTAGGAATTCCCACGGGAACAGGAATTAGCGGGAAAATCTTTTTGTATGAAAAATCTAAACCGCTTAAGTTAGACACTTGAAATTTGGCATGCAGGTACCTTAGTAAACTTAAAGCTTAGTTACAACAAGGAATTTCCGAAATTCCCACAGGAACGGAAATTAGCGGGAAAATCCTTTTGTATGAAAAATCTAAACCGCTTAAGTTAGACGCTTGAAATTTGGCATGCAGGTACCTTAGGAAACTTAAAGCTTAGTTACAACAGGATATTGCAACATTCCCACGGGAACGGGAGTTAGCGGGAAAAAATCTAAACCGCGTAGATGAAAAAATCTAAACCGCGTAGATGAAGGGGGTAAAACGGGATCCACGCGTACGAAGTCGCGGGCGGCCGCTAGTTTTTAATACGTTTTAATGTTGAAAAAGAACGTTCGCCACTGCAGTAGCGAAGCTTGCATGCGTTCCATGTAATAGACATGTTGACACCACCAGTCAATTGACGTACTTTTTGAAACTGTCAATACGAAACTATCCCATAGATTTTGTATGGCACTACAAGCAAGTGACGTCACTATTTTGTCAACTCAATTAAACTACTTTTTTCAATTACAATGCGAACAAAAATCGTAATTTACAGGTAATTTAAAATTAATTAAGTTTTTAAGACCAGAATGAAGGGTCTTTTTAAAAAAGATGTGGTTTCCAATTATTGGGGTATGGTGTCAAACTGTGTATTGTCATTATTCCCGTTTCTAACTTATTCATCGTTGAAACTATCTAACTTAATCTTTTTTTATTTCGGTCAGACCGGCGCTGGAGCGCGGGGCCCCCAAATTCGCGGGGCCCGTAGCATTTGCTACTCTTGCTACGTGGCTAATCCGGCACTGCTTTTCAATTTACTACTTGTAACTTTTACTGGCCACACAAGGTCTTAGGAGGAGGTTGCATAGCCGACTCCGCTCAGAGTTTGGCCGAGACTGACAAAAGGTATACATTTTGTCCGTCTCAGCCAAACTCTGAGCGGAGTCTGAATCGTATACGATTCGTAAGTCTAAGATGGGCTGCAGAATGCAACCGCAGGTAACACTGCGGCTAGAGGCTGCAGTCTAGCGCAGTGAAAAAGAAAGTCAAAGAAACCGTGGTGGCTTGCAGTTTGCGGTCTGCAGTCCATCTTGGACTTTTACCTTTAGACTGATATAGAATCAGTGGTTCTTAACGACTTGTCCAAACATGTCCATTGTCCACGAATAAAATAATTTAATTGAACCTAAAAATTGCAACTCAGTAGTTGCTCAACTCAGTACTAAGGGTGGGTTGCACCATCTTACTTTAACTTTGACAAACGTCAATATAATCTGTCAAACTCCATACAAAAAGCACCGGTTATCGTCATAGTTACCGTTAAAGTTAGGTGGTACAACTCAGCCTTAAACATGTCTTGTCATGTCTTGCCCCAATATTAAAGGGAATGCCTAATTTCTAGGATTTTTTTTTCAGGAAACAATATTATTGTTTCTGGGATGTTTATTTCTGGCCTTCGCTCTGGAGCAATGCGGCGTGCTGAAACGATTGGCGTATTGCTGTATACAAAATTTCGGTGGATCGCATATGCTGTAAGTTCAATAACTAATGCTTCAACCACACCAACGCGTGCCGCGCGCCGGCACGATCACGGCGCGATTATAGGGAAATGACAGGTCGCGCGACCTATGACAGTCCGCGCGACCTGTCATTGGCCTTTTATCGCGCCGGCGATGGTAATCTGCACGCGTTGGTGTGGTTGAAGCTTAATAGGTCTATCGCTCAACTCAGTGCCTGAAGTATGACCTGTGGTTGGTTAAAAGACAGGACTCACTACAAAAAGGAACTTGAATATTTTATTAGATAAAATCAGTGGTAGGGTTAGGATGTGTAAAAGCATTCTTCGGGAGCCTACTTGCATAAATAAATGATTTGATTTGATTCAAGTAACCTGAAAAGTAATTATCGTACTCAGCGTTACATTAGATACGAAAGTTATGGGGTTTTCTCTTTCAGTATGCAATTTTTCCTGGCTTTGGTGACAACTTTTATATCAATGTGGATTACGAATACAGCTGCTACAACTTTGATGGTTCCGGTGAACTTTACTGTGCTCAAAATATTCGAAGATGTTAGTATCATAAAACTTTTTTAGTTGAAAAATACTTTGATAAAATGGTACTAGAATGTTGTTGTTTTTAATTTTACAGAACGGCGTGTTGAAGATTTATGATACTGGACCTAAAGGGGAGAAGATTGCCTCCGACATTACTACGTGTTATTTCTGTTCTGCTTCCTATTTTGCTACTATTGGTAACATTCTTGCTATTATTTTCGCTGACGATTGATTGCAGACGATTGTTTGGTCTGGCAGCCAGAATTAATGAAAGGCTGCGTAGCGTATTAGAAGTGTAGGTATCCGTCATTGTACGAGTGTATTGTCGATTGTATTGTCAGTGTACGCACTGTGGATAGTAGCACTAGTCGTCCGTTTTCAGGATATACCTAAAGGTGCTTTCAATTTATACGTTTCGTGCCGGACGTTTGCCGCAAACGGTAAATTGTATGACAGATGCGTCGGAATAAAATTGACAATTGCCAATAGTTAGCGCGTGCGGTCTTGAAAACGCACTGCAAAGGTCCGGCACGAAACGTCTAAATTAAAAGCACTCTAACACTGAAAATTGTAAGGCAACTTGACGACTGGGAGAGCCAGTTGCTTTAAGATGGACAAGCATTTGTCCCTGACGCATTATTGTGGTATATTTCGCAAAAAAATATATTTTTTTATTAAATTAAGGTCTGATTTTTCAATCGTCGGATAACTTATCTGAAAAATAAGTTTGGGACATTGACAGTTTCAGTATGGGAAATAGTCAAAACGACAAAATTTATTCTTCGGTTAAGAGATAACTGACGATTGAAAAGTCAGGCCTACTTTGAATTTATTATGTAACTAATTTTAGGTGGCGTTGTGACTTTGATGGGCACGGCAACCAACTTGGCATTCAAAGGCATTTTACTGACGTACGTGGCAGTTTTCGTGTTTTTAGCTAGGCTTTATATTATTTCAGTATTTAAAAATATTTTTATTTATTTCCAGTACTTACCCGAAGGCGCCTGATGAATTAACATTCCTAAAGTTTTCCGGATTTGGCTGTATTTATGTGATTCTCATATTCTTATTCACTTATACATACATGGTGTACCTGCATTTTGGAGTATTTAGGTTAGTAAATACTTTTATTTTACGACAGTGTTGATTAACTGACAACTCTTGAAACAAAAAAAAAATATCCATAGGCATAGGTGATCTACGTTAATTTAAAATTTAACTTGGCTTCGTGTAGACGAAGAATCCTTATTATATTTTTGTATTTTAATAAAAACCCACTTTATATTTAAAAAAAAAAAGGTCCTGTAAACAACCTCATTTCCCTCCAACGCAAAATTCCGCAAACAGTTTTCAGAACCGGTCCTATTTCAAATACAAAAATGTAGATGGCGTTATCGCCCATGCTATTTCATGTGACCATTTCATTTATGAAGGGATAGATGGCGCGCGTTGATATTTTTAAACATGCTGTTTTAATACTCAATGATGAATGACTTACAAAAAATATTGTGACTCGGAAATTATAGATTAAATAATAATTTATATTGCTTTTAATTTTTACGGTCATCCATTATATTATTGTTAAGTGCTAAGTAAAAAAATCCTAAATTTGACAGTAAAAAGGGGAGCGATAATGCAAAAAAAATGACAATAACACCAAGAGCAAAAGAAGCTTTTAAGAAGGCAATAATGGAAGAAAGAAAGAAAATTGGGCCGTGTACACTCTGGGAAGTGGTAATTTATTTATTTATTAAACATTAATTTTTATGCTGATACATTTTCTGTAGATATTTTAACTGGGTCCATATTGGCTCACCTAAAGTTATTTACCCGAAATTGTTCTTCCTAACGATTTTAAATCCGAATGATCACTCTTCCTAAAATTTTTCATCCTAAAGTTTTCATTCATACTATTTGTAGTGCTACCGGCGATGTTCATAACACTCATGTTTTCGAAAATTGTAATTAATAATATCATTTATGTAAATATATTTAAACTCCTACTGTTTTTTATCATAACACTTTTATCCCTAAACGTTATCTGGAACTTGACTGAATGACTGGAGCGGGACTCTGGCTTCGCTCGCTCGGCTGGTGCGTTGTGGTCACAGTTCTAACCTAACCTAAACCAATAATTATGAATAGGACCGATTCGTTTCTGGAACTTGACTGAATGACTGGAGCGGGACTCAAGTATACGTGCTAATGCCAACAAACTTGAACTTTAATATATCGTCAAAGAAAGAAATCTAAACAAAAAAGATATGACTTTGAATAATAGTGTAAAATATGGTTATGTTTAGAAAATCTAGGAGAACAAATAAAAGTATAATAGATATTTATTGGTAATGACATTATGAAGTTGAATGATTCGGAATTATGAACATTAGAGACAGAGTAGTTAGGAATTTTGATTGTTAGGATGAAAAATTTTAGGAAGAACATTTTCGGACTTCCAATTTTCGGAGTTGAAAATTTAGGTGAACTTTGGCGCACCCATTTTAACTATGTTCATTTATTTGATGAGATTTTAAACTTTATTTTCGTATTTTTATGATTCTAAAATAATATTTTTTTCCTAGTTGGCGTGTATTTTGTTTGTCGTCGCAGTTCTGGGATTTTTAGGTCGTTTAACGCCATTCTTCGACGGATGGGGCACCATGATAAAGACATCGTTTTCGCAAAAGGACGAATCATAGTAAGAAAAACAAATTTTCATTGTAGAGAAGAGATCACGAAATTAAATCTGTTTCAAGTTTCTCTGTCTAGCTAGAATAATAAACATAATTATTATTATGTCCATTATAATTTATTTGAATTTTGCTTCTTTGATAGTTTTCTGTGCGCTGTATAGTAAAGACAGCTTGATAATAATTTCGATGGTGTAAGATATTAATTAAATGATAAATGATAATAATATTTTCTCCTTGCACAGCGTTCGGGATTCTGCTATGGTTATGGCTGTGTGTTGCGCAATGTTCCTGCTTCCAGCTTCACTTGCGTTTTTCAAGAACTGCACGGCTAAATGTAAGATTTTTTTAAGGTGTACTATGCATATGCATAGAGATTCATACAATTTTAGGGGGTAATAAAACATAGGACGTCCATTGCTGAACATAGGCCTCCCCAATGATTTTCACATGGACCGGTTGGTAGTGGCCTGTATTCAGCGTCTTCTTGCTACCTTTATGAGGTCGTCGATCCACCTTGTGGGTGGACGTCCTACTGCGCTGCCCTTTCTGGTACGTGACCTCCACTCCAGAACCTTTCTGCCCATCGGCCGTCAGTTCTGCGTAATTTACTATGTGCCCTGCCCAAGTGCACATTGCCACTTCAGCTTGCTAATCCGTCGGGCTATGTCAGCGACTTTAGTTCGCTTAAGGATCTCCTCATTTTTGATTCGATCTCGTAAAGAAATACCGAGCATAGCTCTCTCCATATCACTTTTCTCTTCTTCCATGTCATAGAAGTGCGTTAAGAACCATAATTAAACGGCCGACATAGTTAATTGTTATTATTTCGCCTCGTTGCTCGGTGAACCGACGATGTGGTGGCAGGAAGATCCTGGATGCGGGCGGCGCAGGACCGTTCATATGGAAAACCTTGCGGGAGGCCTTTGTCCAGCAGTGGACGTCATTTGACTGAACCAACGAACGAATTATTTTGTCGTTTTATTTTTTTAGTTCATGAAGATCTACCTAAATCGAAAACAACTTCAGTGCTGGATTGGGCCACTTTGAATACATCTATGCCATTCAGTTTTATGTTTCTTTTGGGTATGATGTTTTTATTGCTATTTTGATCTTGTTAATGATTTGACCTGATCGAGTTAACTGCGCACCTCGCTGGAATGTGTCCCCCCTCCCCCCACTTACAGTCCTATCAACTTAAGCTGAGAATTGCATTTGTGTGAGTGATCGCCAAAAGTACAGTTAGTAAAACACATACAAATAAAATTAATGTTTTATTAAAAGGAACTCCATAAAACACTAGCTACCAATTGGGCCGATGTCCTAACGACACTTGACACATCCTTTTAAATAAATAAATAAATAAAAACAGGTTCTCGCTCAGCATAATGCCAATTGCCAAGGCACGAAGTACCGCGACGCTGATATTCTGCGAGCACCGTTTATAGAGAGGGCGTCCGGCCAGCCTTACAAAATACAACAAAAAGACAAACAAATTTATAAAATTACAAAATAAAAACAGACTAAAAACTTTTCGTTCACACCTTTAAAATACGTATTCAATTAGCATAAAATTTGTTTCACTTGCCTGCTTAATGGTTTTCGTACAGGAAATTCACTTACAGTAGGAGCCATTTCACTAATATTTGGAACACAATTACATAAAATTACACGTCTATCTGCTACCAGCAGTACCGGGGGTGAAGTGAAGTATGTGAGTGGTAGGGAAGTGACGCGTGGCGGACGCGCCGCGCCTCAGGCCGCTTGCTATAAACTAGTATAAACCGGTTTAAACCATGCGCGGGTCGCGCCGCGCCTCAAGCCGATTGCCACTCTACACTATCGGTGTGCACTCATACAAATGCAATTCTCAGCTTAAGTTGAGAGGACTGTACCCGCAAACCTTACCGTCCATACCAGAGTGGCGATGTGTCGTCACGGCTGTCAGGTGTGCAGTTAACTCGAAAGGGTTGTACTTTATCTGAGCACCACCTAACTTTAACCGTAACTTTAACGATAGCCGGTGTTTGTGGCTGGGTTGCACATCTTACTTTAGAAATGTCAAAAATCTGTCAACCAAAAACGTCGGGATTTTATAGTAACTGTTAAAGCAGGCCTGTTCATCTCCGCGAGTTTACATCGAAAACAAAACACGCACGATGGCCCACCTACAGGATACTATTCAACAAGGCCTCACATACGAGCGAACATTGACTCACGCACGCGTATTCTTGTGTATGATGGAAGAAAATAAAGAAAATGGTGTACTAAATACTGTGCAGTATTTAACTGCCTAAATAATAATAAAAACACAGAATGTACTTTTTTAACTTGCCTCAAGACACTGAGAGGTAAATAAGTAGTTAATATTATTCATGATAATTCATGCTAAATCATGTGTTTCCTCCAGGGTTCGAAAATATCCGATATTTATTATAAATATCAAAATATCGGATATTTATGATATATATCCGATATATTATATCAACTTTGATATATATCAATTTTGTATGAAAGCCATAGTATTATTTTATTGTATTATTCATGAATACTATTGCATATGTGTTAATACACATGTTTTTAATGTTTATAAACCTTATAATCAGACAAATAAAGCAAAAACATAATTAAAATATTCTTTTAAATAACGCAAAATCAACTAAATATGTTATTGCAAATGAATAAATAAATAAATAAATAAATAAAAAAATAAAAATCTTATGTCAAAAAGTACAAATACAGTAACAAATTTTAAAAATTGATATATATCATCAAAACCGGCTTGATATACAACGTGTCCCAAAATTCAAGGATAAGCCGGCGCCGCAGGATGGACATAGTCATGACTACTTTAGGAAAAATAAGGAAAAAAATCTATCTCAATTATTTTTTAAGTTACACAATAAATTACGAAATTCTTCTAAAATTGACACCCCTTATGATATTTTACATTACCACGACCGCCATTTTTCAAATATTTCTGTTTTTTTGTTTGTATCGGCAACTTAAGTAGTGTTGCTGTCCACCCCAACTCTTAAAACCTCCAGAATCCTTGCAGTTTTTACACAAAAGTTAATCAAAATATGTTATTTCCTTAAAATTTTGAACGATTTTTACTTTCACTCCACTTTGACTCATCGTTTTGTAAAAAAAAAGTATGAACACTATTGCGGCAAGTTTTTTATAAAGTTGACGCAACTATCCAAGATTCCAAAATGGTATAATACTCTAAGAAACCTAGTCGCAAAAAAGATATGCATACCATTTTTACAAGCACTTCGCTTGTTAGTTAGTATGGGATAAATGTTGCAACTGAATTTAAAACCAGTTCTCCTCAACCAATTGAGCTGAAATTTGGTTTACTTGTGTAAGTACGATGACAATGCAATATTATGGTACCATTGAGCTGGATGGAGACTGGAGGTGGCCGTAGGAACTTCTAAACGAAACGGCGGAATTGCATCTAGTTTGGGTTCGTTGGACTTGTCTTTTCGAGCACTTTAGTGCTAGATGATGTCCAGGGTCCTGATGATGAAGTCAATTATAATTTTCAAATGAAGTCAAGCTTGTTTTTAAAAAAGTTTTTTTTTATTACAACTTTATTTTAAACTTTTTAGTTGTTTCTCAATCTCATGGCCTACGTGCTCGGGAAGACAAATCCAACGGACCCAAACTCGATAAGCTTCCGCCGTTCCTTCCGTTCCTTCTTTAGGAGTTCCTATGGCCAGCTCCTGCCACCCCTTGACTTCATCATCAGGACCCTGGACATCATCTAGCACTAAAGTGCTCGAAAAAACAAGTCCAACGAACCCAAACTAGATGCAATTCCGCCGTTTCGTTAAGAGTTCCTATGGCCACCTCCAGACTCCATCCAGCTCAATGGTACCATAATATTGCATTGTCATCGTACTTACACAAGTATACCAAATTTCAGCTCAATTGGTTAAGGAGAACTGGTTATAAATTCAGTTGCCAGATTTATCCCGTTCTAACTAACAAGCGAAGTGTTTGTAAAAATGGTACGCATATCTTTTTTGCGACTAGGTTTCTTAGAGTATTATACCATTTTGGAATCTTGGATAGTTGCGTCAACTTTATAAAAAACTTGCCGCAGTAGTGTTCATACTTTTTTTTTACAAAACGATGAGTCAAAGTGGAGTGAAAGTAAAAATCGTTCAAAATTTTAAGGAAATAACATATTTTGGTTAACTTTTGTGTAAAAACTGCAAGGATTCTGGAGGTTTTAAGAGTTGGGGTGGACAGCAACACTACTTAAGTTGCCGATACAAACAGAAAAACAGGAATATTTGAAAAATTGTGGTCGTGGTAATGTAAAATATCATAAGGGGTGTCAATTTTCGTCGAATTTCATAATTTATTGTGTAAGTTAAAAAATAATTGAGATAGATTTTTTTCCTTATTTTTCCTAAAGTAGTCATGACTATGTCCATCCTGCGGCGCCGGCTTATCCTTGAATTTTGGGACACGTTGTATATCGGATATATATCCGATATATATCTTGATATATATCCTCGAACCCTGGTTTCCTCCGCCATTTTCCGCAGTTTGGCACCTCACGTCACATCATTTTGCCGAAGTCAGCCCTATAGCTTCGGCGCAGTGCCGATCACTGACGTTTGTCAACAAAATGGTGCTTGACTCTTGAGACAGGCTAAATTACACCATATTGTTAATGACATTGAGCATACATTTTTTTAAATACCTTCGCGAAGTAAAACTTCTGTACGTAGTACTTATTATTATTCTGTGGTTAAAGTAAGATGTTACAACTCAGCATTATAATTCATAATTTCCAGGTGCTGGTTTCGTTCTATGCGAAGCTGGGAAGTCTTCTGGGTTAAATGATAAAATTGGTGAAACGTTCAAAGAGCTGGAGTCATTGCCGACTTTGGTCGCTTTACTGATCGTCATCGTTGGAACGGTGGTGATCACCAATTTCGCGTCGAACGTTGTTGTAGCCAACATTTTTTGCCCACTTGCAATGAGTTTGGTACGTCATACCATTTTCCTCTAATCCTACTAGGGGTTGATGATTGACTGATGAATATTATTATCAGTCAGCCAAATGAACGTATAAGCATACCTTCTTAGGCTGAGTTGCGCCACCTAATTTTGACCGTAACTTTAACGATAACCGGTGTTTTTTGTATGGAGTTTGACAGATTTTTGACGTTTGTCAAAGTTAAAGTAAGATGGTGCAACCCAGCCTTAGACCTGATTCGATTAAACTTTTATCCGAGAATAACTCCTGGTATGACTGCCACATTGACAGTTTCAGTATGGGACATTATGTCAAAACTGACTATTAATTCTGAGATATTTATTATTCGAAATATTTACTCTTGTTTGGTCGAATCCACCCTTAGTCGTATGTCTATCTTGCACTGGTATATATTTTATTATGTTGTCAATATTCCAAACTAGCAATTGTCGCATACAAGTTTAAACCAATTTATTATTCTTTGTTTGGCCTAAAGGTTAACTGGTAACACACGGCATTAAGTTCGCCTTATGTACCGCGATTTGTGTGTACAAATAGGTTATAAATAAATAAAGCATAGATATTATAATAACACATATTTTTTTAGGCAAAACAATTGAAAGTAAGCCCACTGTGGTTCTGCTTAGCGGCCGGGTACTCCGCCTCCTACTGCTTTATACTTCCAATCGGAACTCCAGGAAACATGATTGTGAAGAGTGCAGCAAGCATTCCTCTTAAAAAAATGGTAATTATAAATTACCTTAAACAACATCAAAAATAGGTATCCCAAACACTGATCTCTGAATCCGCTACGTGCCATTCTGGGATAGTCATACGCCCGTATTCACAAACGATGCTTGATTAAGTGAAGCAAATCGAACGCACAGCGTTGAATAGAGCTCTGTGATTGGTTCGTGTGTGACACTACAAGCACTGTGAAACCTCATAGTAATGTTTGTGAATACGGTCGTTAGTTATTCAGACATCAATTTGTGAATCTGATTTTTGGAATAAGGAACTAGCGACTCAGCGTCGTATTATTTTTTTTTAATGATCGCAATTGCATATTATTATAAGAAACTCGAAAATGAGGACATCTACACCGTGTTACTTTGCATTCTTGCCATATTCACAGAGGTAAAAGTAGGGACCAATACCTATTATTTAAGATAAACAAGAGACTCCCATAAAGAAAATACACTGAGTTTTAAGTAAATCTGGTTTTGCAGTACAAATTGGAATAAACCAATTTTGTCTCGCACTTTCTACAGGTGCAAGTGGAATAAACCTAGTGGGCGTGGCCTAGTTCTTATTAATCTGTGATGTTTTATGGCTCTGGGTACCAGCCTTTTTATCCAGTCATAATAATTATTTTAAAATACTCTTCAGTTGATTTTAGATTTTCCTTTCTACTCTCAGTTTTTACTTTACGGGCTTAGGATCGTCAAAAATACGTAATAATTATTAGGCTTTTAATTAATTTATAACATTGTTCCCTATTCTTACGAATTAATAAATTAAGTATGAAATGAAATCACCTTATTCACAATTAATTATTTATTTATGAGTTCCTACTTACAAAGTTTACGTACCTACTGCGAAGCAAGTGTTCAAAGTGTCCTCCGTTCTGATGAAGGCACAGTCTAGCACGGCGAAGCGTAGGTATTTCGCTTTAGTTTTCGCAACACATAAACGTTTTGTCTCACAGTTTCGCTGAAGCAATTCTTTCACGTAACACGTTTGTTTACACTTTTTATCTCTTCTGCGCATACGTTTCAACTTTCAAGTCACTCCAAAAATAATAGACCATTGGTGTTAGGTCCGAGGATCGTGGTGGCCAAGCTACTGGACCCCCTCGTCCAATCCACTGTTCACCAAACGTATTATTCGCACACTTGACGTCCTTATTGTGGGGGAGCACCATCCTGCTGGTAGTAGAGCATTTGGTGTAACGCTAAGGGTACGTCATCAAGCATTTCGTTTAAGACGTCTTGCAGACACTCCAAGCACCATTTTGATTAAATTATTCGTTGTTTGAATACACTTCAGTCATTTTTGTATTATTTATAACGTGATTTGTGATTGATGGATTTCTCAGTTTTTTACAAAAGTGTCAAAAAGACATTTTAAAGACAATAGATTGCAATAGATATTTAAAAATACAATAAAAAGTAAAAAAGTCTCCATCGCCATCGCTAACATAAGTGATGTGCATGCGTTACGATAGTTAGTGATGTGTTTAACAGATTGTCGATAAAATAAAATAGTTAAAATTAAAAATCAAAATTTTCGGGCATTATTTTTTAACGGATTTGTGTTCAGTATCAGTAATATAGTAACCTCTGTAAATATGGCAAGAATGCAAAGTAACACCCTGTATAATATTAAAATTTTCTCTTCTCTGCACTTCTGAGCATCCTCTTTCCTACACATATTTTATACCTTATTGAAAATTTTTCTTTAATTTTATTTTTATTTTACAGGCACTAGCGGGCCTAGGCCCTACTATAATCGTAATTGTATTCACGTGGATGGATTTGAATTACTTAGCACCAATCATATGGCCTGATTTGGACAAGTTACCTGACTGGGCAAAGGATGAACCAAAGTAAGAATAAGAACGAGTATAGTATTAGGGCCCTGCCACACTGGTTACAAGCGTTTTCAAAGCGGAGTGGCCACGCTGAGAACACGCCGCGTGTGTGCGCGCAGCCGCGACGCCAATTTCAAGTTAATGATCGAAATTTCATAATATTTCAAGCCTTTCATATAAGTTCAATTTTATTATTATAATTTTTGAAAAGGGATAAGGGTATTAGTAGGTCTCCAGGCCACTCAGGGCACCCCCTGCATTTCAGAGCAACCACATTCCTACGCCTATAGATTATTGTATATTTTTCTTAATTTTTCTTTTTTTACAGGCCAGAGTTGGTATAATCCCACTTTCATCGTAATCCTAATGACGTGGGTGGATATGAACTATTTTGTATCAGTCACATGGCCTTAATTTGGAGAAGTTACCTGACTGAGCAAAGGAGAACGGGTATTTTATTATGCTCAGATTATCAATTCAAATTGTTCTCTATCCATGCAACTTCCTTAAAACTTGTCCGTATCGAAAACATGGCGTATTGTTTTTTTTTTACTATAGCAAGTAAAGATGTAGTGCATAATTAAGTCAGTGCCTGAGGTATGGGAGCGGCGCGGGAGGGGTGACATTGACATAATATTATGACGTGACTGAGCATACAAATCTGAAGCACAGAAGCACGGTAATACTATCTATACAGTATTCCAACTCGGCCATATTTTTGAAATAAATGTCAACAGCCCCGCGGTACGTCACGGTATGACAACATGCGATAGGGCTGCCCACCTACAGTACCCATTCTAATTACATCTGTCTACTTAGAATTTCTATCTAGTTTTGTGATTGTATTTTCTTTTATTTAGACAAACAAAATACTTTGTTTGTCTATAGGATAAAAATGCGTGTTGTTTTGTGTTAGTAGATTTATTTTTTTTTAAATATACTAAAATAATTTTGAATCTACTAATCATAATGAGTACTTAATGACCTGTTACTTTAATTTCAGGCGGATGAAGTCGTGGGCAAAAGCTGGTTTAATACAATATATTTTTTATTTCAAATCAAACTGACTGAAAATGACCATTTTTGACTGTTAATAACTTGTTTTCGACAAATTTGACCGTAAATGACGGTAGTCAAATTCAATCACCTTAGTCATTTTCAACACTAGCTAGGCCATCGACGTCCGTTCGGCACATTCGCGACTTACGCGAGATTTGAAATTCGAAGGAAAGCTCGCGTTTCGTCGGTTTATATGAAGTTATAATACTGTATGATAAATAATTATTACCGTGACAGAAGTCTCGATGACGTTTGACGTCTCAAAAACACCCTCCCGTGTCATATAAATACTGGACTGTCCTGTCGATGACATTGACAGTGGGGCGCCACCGTCAATACCGGATCGCTGGTTCAGATTTTTGCCATGTTGGAAACCATATGGTTGAACGATGGTAGCGCCCCCCTGTCATTGAGTTTGGCGGGACAGTTCAGCGTGGGTCATCTATATGGGAGCGGCACGGGAGGGGTGACATTGACATAATATTATGACGTGACTGAGCATATAGATAACCCACGCTGAAANACAGTTCAGCGTGGGTCATCTATATGGGAGCGGCACGGGAGGGGTGACATTGACATAATATTATGACGTGACTGAGCATATAGATAACCCACGCTGAACTGTCCCACCAAACTCAATGACAGGGGGGCGCTACCATCGTTCAACTATATGGTTTCCAACATGGCAAAAATCGGAACCAGCGATCCGGTATTGACGGTGGCGCCCCACTGTCAATGTCATCGATAGGACAGTTCACTATTTTGGAACTATAATTTGTATAGTTCCATAGTATACATATAGTTGAACGATAGTAGCGCCCCCCTGTCATTGAGTTTGGTGGGACAGTTCAGCGTGGGTCATCTATATCTGAAGCACAGAAGTCTCGATGACGTTTGACGTCTCAAAAACACCCTCCCGTGTCATACCTCAGGCATTGACACAGTTAAGCGTTAAACCATAGTATGTTAATTAATTGAAATGTATTCAGAAAATATACATTAAATATAATATGTAAAGTGCTTTCTTTAATGTATTATGTGGTTGTATTGTTCATGAACTCGTTTGACATGCATGTTATTTATAATAGTTTCTTTGTAAGTTCGTTCGTTCGTTCGTTTCAGCCGTTTCTTTGTAAGTACTTAATATTAATTTGTGGAGTTTTTTATTTATAAAAACATGATTTGCGTTTAACTAATGTTACTTTGAGAGAGACTTAATTAAAATGTTAAATAGCTATTTTTGTGTCAATATGTGAAGGCAATATTTAGGTACCTTCATACCTTGTAAGAAAAGTAAAATTAAATTAAAACTTATTTTAATTTATTCATAAGAAAGATTAAGTTTGTGACTCGATCTCTAAGTTTTATATTTTATTTGTTAATGTAATGTGAAGAACAATAATTGTATTAAAATTTGTTTTTAAATGCTTAATATTATTATAATGACATTTGATTTGTATTACGGTCTGCACGATAATGTTTGTTTTTCGTTAAATAAAGTTATTATTTGCTAAAGTTTATTTTATTTTATTTTTTTTATCTGATACCTACTTATTAGATAATCTTACCGCTTAATAATCTGTAAAAGTCGGGAGTCTTAGGCAAAACAAAAGACTGATAGGTGACTCACATTATTTCGGCAGTGCTTGAGCTCGTGGGTCAATGAGGGTTTTCGCGAATGAAAGATCCGCTAGGTGGCGGGACGTGGATGTGGGGTCTGACTGCTGCGTGATTGGTGGATTTTGACATATCTGTCAATGTCATGTCAAAAATAACCAATCATGCAGCATTTGGACCTCGCGTCTACGTATTGCCATCTGGCGGATTTTTCATTCGCGAAAACCCTCATTGTAGGTGCAAGCGGATCAACAGGATTTATTCCGTAAATGAGCATCCCGGATCTAGCTACCACTGGCTACGGTTGTAGCGTTAGTTATGGCTATACTAGATTTAGTAATCCACGTCCACTTCTGTGTGAACCTTGCCTTAATATCTTTCCGTGCCTGAAACTATTACTACTGAATAAAACCTCTTATCATCTGAAGTAAAAATATTATACGTCAAACTCAAAGGACAAAGGTAGTTGCCAAAACTGCGAACACAAAAATTTATGTCATTGTTTTAATTATTTTCAAAACGTGAGATTATTTGAGTTACACAAATACAGAGCAAAAACAAACAAGATGTGAGTATTATTTAGGTATTTTTAATTTCGTATTAATTTATTAATTAAACGCCCGGTCACATGGTAGAAGATAATTTGTACCGCTTACTTTTTTCTCTTCTTCTTCTTCTTTTATTTTATTTTCTCAGTTTGGAGGAGAAACGAGTATGCCAAATGGCATTAAGTTTGCCCTAAGTAATGTCCAAAATCTTAATGAAACAAATGTTATTGTAACGTTGATTTTATGGCATAAGTACTTGAAGAAATCTAACAAGTAGACTATGACTACAAAGGCATTAGATTTACGTAACCTATTCATAATCTTGCTGTTCTTTTCTAGGTTCGGAAAGCAAGAAGAGGAGGATATGGCGTTCTTCTCAAAAGTGTTACTGTTCCTCTCTGTACACTGGAGAGGGGTTGTGTGTGTGGTCGCGCCTATCGTGCTCATTGCGGTCCTAACGCCATTCCCGCCTAAAGTATGAATAGCAAATTGTATCCCAACTAATATTATAAATGCGAAAGTAACTCTGTCTGTCTGTCTGTCTGTCTGTCTGTCTGTCTGTCTGTTACGCTTTCCCGCTTAAACCTCGCAACCGATTTTGATGAAATTTGGCATAGAGATAGTTTGAGTCCCGGGAAAGAACATAGGATAGTTTTTATCCCGGTTTTTGAAACAGGGACGCGCGCGATAAAGTTTTTCTGTGACAGACAAAATTCCACGCGGGCGAAGCCGCGGGCGGAAAGCTAGTTGTATAATATACATAGCTAGCAGCTGCCCGCGACTTCGTACGCGTGGATCCCGTTTTACCCCCTTAGGGGCCCGTTTCCGTGGGAATTTCGGGAATCTCTTAGTGCACCTCTACGGTACCTAAGCTACGTCCCTTCCAAATTTCAAGTGCCTACGTTTAGCCGTTTAGGCTGTGTGTCAGTCAGTCAGTTTCTCCTTTTATATATTTAGAAGATAAGGCTCGATTTCTTATAACAATACAGCTTTTTGCGCTGCTTTATGTTAAATGGGTTAGGCGAGCGACATTATGTCGGCGACTGCTTGCGATATACTGGTAGGCGTCGGTCAGCGACTGTACGTGACTGTCGGCGACACTCTCGCCTTTCACTGTCTGTCTTAGTGACTGTCCGTCTTCGAGAGTCGCAATGCGTCGGCGAAAGTCGTCTTATAGTTCCAAAATACTGAACTGTCCTATCCATGACATTGACAGTGGGGCGCCACCGTCAATACCGAATCGCTGGTTTCGATTTTTACCATGTTGGAAACCATATACTTAGTTGAACGATGGTAGCGCCCCCCTGTCATTGAGTTTGGTGGGACAGTTCAGCGTGGGTCATCTATAACTCTTGAATATCTTGTCGTCGGCGATTATCGGCGACTGTCGCCGACTTAAGTCGCAAGCATTCGGCGATATACTGTCGCTTGTTTGTGAGCTCCCTGAGTGTTTTAATCTCAATTTATTGTTATAGCCGTACCAGTGGTGTGGCTACACCCTAGTGCTGATGGCCATATTCTGGGTGACAGAGTGCATCCCAATCGCTGTGACTTCATTTCTGCCTGTCCTCATATTCCCACTGACGGGAGTCTCGACTACAGCGGAGACGTGCCAGGCTTACATCAATGTAGAGTATTATAATAAACCTTAATTATTAATAATAATCATCATCATCAACATTTCAGCCACAGGAGGTCCACTGCTGAACATAGGCCTCCCCCAATGCTTTCCATGTTGATCGATATTAATAATGCTATGAATTTAGTAATTGAGGCGTCTAGTTTCAAATCCCGCTAAAACGATTTTGATAAGATTTCGAGAAATTGAAAAAAACCGCTTATCCATATAGCTTTGGCCTTAGGCAAAAAAAAATATGATACGAATTATTATTGTCATCTGGCAATACTAACAGTAATTGCTATTCATCTTTAAATTAAACATAATTTGAATTATAATGAAAACTATTTTCATTTTGGCGTATTTTGTTACGAACATTCGGTTTTAATGGGATTTGAAACGGACATGTTGTATTTTAGCGGGATTTGATAAGAGCAAATTATGAAGCAACCACGTTATAAAAAAATCTCCATACTGATTTCGCAGTCACGTGACCAAAAATACCGTGCTACCATTGGTCAATCAACTTTTAGAGGGTTTTGAAAGAAACGGACGGCGTTTTAGCGGAGTTTGTAACACAAACCTAATTTTAAGTGCTAGTTTAGTAGTCTTTTAGTGTATTTTGATCGAAAATAATTGAACAGTATGATGAGAAAATTGCAGTAGCATCATTTAGAGATATAAACAGAAATTAGTTGCAGGAGCGTTTTAGCGGGTTTTGAAACTAGACGACTCAATTACAGCTTGAGGCCAACAATAGCTTTAAATAGACGGGGTAGTTAAATAGATTTAAGGGACTTTTACCCAGAGCTGTGTAACGCAAAAGTGGGAAAAAAAGATGGAAGAAATATTTTTAATTAACCAACTACCTATATTGATAACAAAAAGGATCTAGGAGACTTTTATCCAATTGTGAAAAAAAAAGGTTTAAAAAGCATTTTAGTTTTTGAAACTTTACATTGCAAAAAATATGAGAGTGCTAAAGGCGATACATTTTTGTTCGAGTTGTATAAAGAAACGATGTTCAATGTCTGTTTAATTTACTTCCAGGATTCAGTATTGATGTTTATTGGCAGCATAATATTAGCCTTTTCTGTCGAGCAATCTGGTTTGCATAAACGTCTGGCGTATTTTGCTATACGCATTATCGGATATTCGCATGTAAGGTAAAACGTGTATTACTAATCTGATTCCTGTGTCCGTTTTTCAAGTCTGCATTATTTTCGCAGATGAGATTCGTGAGCTGCAGGAACAGTTCCAGAGGCCTAAGCTGAGCTTTGTGTTTGTGTGAGTGTACACACGGCCACACTGTTAACTATCTATTTCCGTTTTTGCTCTCGCTCACATCAAATGGTGATTCTTTGCGATAGAACGAGATGACATGACAGGCAATGGATAGTTTACACTGTTGCCGATGGAACATACCGCTTTTTGGCAATTAGTCTGAGATGTTAGTCCGCCGCGCATCTGTCACACTTCACCTCTTTTAGCTACCTACTGGTAGCAGCGTGACATGTTTAATTGTTTAAATTTAATTGTTTAATTCTTAGGCTGAGTTGCACCACCTGACTTTAACCTTAACCATAACGATAACCGGTGTTTTTGTGACTCTACTTTTGGTGATCACTCACACAAAAGCTCAGCTTTCGCCTCGCGAACTATATCCCCCTTATTATTTAAAAGTTACACCCCTAGTTGAACTGGCTTAAATTTGTCATTTAGTATGGACATGTCATTTTAATCAGGGTTCTTCCTAGCTAGGTGTATTTTTTATTAATAAGGGGGTATTATGAGTGTAGAGAAGAACGTTGGCACTTTAGCTAGATATACTTCTTGCAGTTTTTATAAAACAAACATAACACCCTAACACAAGCATATTAATTGCTTACTTTGGGGCTAGATGGCGCTGTGTGAGATTGTCCAAAGATAATACCTATAAGTAGCCCATGATTGGCGAAAACGTAGCCTAACGTTGCAGTTGGTTAAAATAGACATTAGACAATGTAATTGCCGATTAATGCATGTGTGTTTATTTTGGTTAATTCTTTTAGGTTGCTATTAGCCATGTGTTTAGTGACAACATTCGTTTCCATGTGGGTCACTAACACTGCCGCCACAACTATGATGGTACCCATAAACCTTGCTGTGCTCAAAGTATTTGATGACGTTAGTTTTACATCTACTTACATTCTGATTTTCTTATGTTTTCAATTAAGCTTACTAATCTTATAATGTTACAGCAAAACATAATTAAACTTTATGACACTGGCCCTGACGGAGAAAATATGGCGTCTGATATAACAACAGCCTATTTCTGCGCAGCTACTTATTCAGCTACTATTGGTAACATTAAAATGTATCATTATTCATGATTTAATTTACGACTGTGCAGTAAACAGTGTGGTTACGGTAAAGTAGAATAGGACTCTTCCCGTGGAATTGTGTGGAAATGTGATGGGGCAAATAATTTAGATCCATCGCAAACATCAAGCCTTTTCCCCTACTCTTCCCGCGGGTGTCTTAAGAGGTGACTTAGGGACTACATATCAAACAGAGAACGGGCAGCAGCGCTCACTGAAAAAACATCAATCTTCGACCAACTGTGATCTCCAACCCGCCTACCAAGCGTGGGGATTATGGCAAAACCCTCCTCTATCCAGCAGTGGACTGTAAAGGGCTGTTGATGATGAAGCCTTTTCCCCTGGCTTATGACTCCGAAACGTGGCCTCTACTATAGGCCTCATAAAGAAGGTCAAAGTTGCATAGCGTGCTATGGAAAGGATTATACTTGGTGTTTCTTTACGAGATCGAATCAGAAAGGAAGAGATCCGTAAACGAACCAAAGCCACTGACATAGCCCGACAGATTAGCAAGCTAAAGTGGCAATGGGCAGGGCACATAGTAAGCAGAACTGACGGCCGATGAGGCAGCAGGGTTCTAGAGTGGAAACTAAATAATTAATGATGAACAATAATAATTTAACATTATTTAATTTCAGGTGGCATCGGAACTTTGGTAGGGACGGCGACTAATCTAGCATTTAAAGGTCTTTTTCAGACGTACGTAAACTTTTAGTATTATGTAGAAAACTTGCTTAGTTTAGGGATTTGTGACGCCGTTTAAAATTAATTTTAATATTATGGTAGTAGGTAGGAAATGAAATCAATCAGTAACGATATTTTTCATTTCCAGGGCATATCCAGAGGCACCCGAATTATTATCATTCCCCAAGTTTTCGGCTTTTGCTGTGCCTTATATGATTATTATGGAAATTTTCGTATACTTATACTTCATCATATTTTATTTTGGAGTATTTAGGTGAGCTTTATCGTCTGTAAGAATCTATCTGGCTATAAATACCAATAAAAACGTACTTAGCCAAAATATTATTCTGTCTCGTTCTTTATGGTGAGAAAAAATAAGATTTACCTGCAAACAAATTACTTTTATCTATTTTTATTAATTTTAAAACACACTCTTGTTTATCAGAAATAAATCCTTGTTCTTCTTCTTCTTTTTCTGTGGCTTTTCCTATTTCTTTTGGGATCAGCTCAAACGTCAGCGAGACTTCAGACTTTTATGCTGTCACATCATAAATGTCACCCTCCCGTGCCAATCCCTTACCTAAGGCACTGACTTAACTATGCGCTTGACTTGTAGTCTTTTTGTTTTACAGACCGGGAAGTGTGGCGGCTAAATCAGCTAAAATGACGAAAAAGGGTATAGAGCTAGCTGAAAAGGCAATTCTTGAAGATAGTAAGAAAATGGGCAGAATCACATTTTGGGAAGTGGTATTTATTTTTTATGACTTGATAATACCTACTTTAGTCGTTTATTAAATTGAAACAGTTTTAAGTTATATTTCATATTTCCAGATGGTATTATTGCTATTTATCCTGGCAATGATTGGCTTTTTCTGTCGATCACCTCAAATCTTTACAGGTTGGGCCGATCTTATAACAAAATCATTCGGAATATCCGATACCCGATAGTAAGTAACAATAAAATGTATTCAACTTAAAACATTCCTTAGGTAGGTACATGATTCTGTGTATGGCCGTTAGCTATAAGATAATAAGATGTCTAGCTTAAATTTCAAAATTGAAGTGGTTAATAAATGTAGATTTTATTTATAGTGTTTGTTTTTTAATAAGGCTCGGTGCAAATGGGCCACCGAAGCGACCGGTGCCGGTGGCCAGCGACGGCGACTTAACACACTTGTATCCGGTGGCGGCCACTCGCTACAGTAGTAGACTATACAAAATATATTAAAAAGTGTGTAAGTCGCTGTCACTGGCCACCGGTGGCTGTGGTCGGTGGCCCATTTGCGCCGAGGCTAAAAGCTAAGATCTATTTATCTTTATACACAGCGTTCGAGACTCATCACTCGCTCTGTGTGTTTGTACCCTTATGTTCCTTTTGCCGTCTACATTGGCAGTTTTTAAGAACTTCACAGCCAAGTGTAAGTTTTATTTTTTACAACATGAGAATTTATTTATCATGTACTTGGTTTATTTAATCTTAATTCATTTCAGTTCACGAAGATCTACCAAAAACGAGAGTCACTTCAGTACTCGATTGGCGTACGATGAACGTTGCTATGCCATGGAGTTTTATGTTTCTCATTGGTATGACATGTTTTCATAACAGACCTAATTATCTATTAGCCACTTACAGTTTAACTACCAGTCAGTGAGGTGGCATTATTTCATTTAAAGGTGGTGGTTTTGCACTGTCTAATGCCGCTAAAAGTACAGGACTCAACAGCAAAATCGGCGAAACGATGAAAATACTAAAAGAATTGCCAGACCTGGTGATTATCCTCATCATTACCGTGGTGGTTATTTTCATCACAAACTTCGCTTCGAACGTCGCCGTGGCCAATGTGATGTGTCCACTTGCAATGCAACTGGTAAGAAATAACGATAAATGTTTATTTTTAACATTCGAAGTCGAAGATCTAGTGAAGGCCATAGGAAGCACCTGGATGAGGGCAGCACATGAACGGCCTTAAACATTTATTTTCTGAAGCTAGAGACTGGAATTTACATTTACTAGTGTATAGGCATTAGGCACTTACAGGGCAGCTACTACAGTCAACGTCAAATGTTACGTGACACCCAAAGTTCACAACACAACTTTGTTACTATTAGAATGTGGTTGTGTTGTCAACTATTTGGCCACTTTCACTTAACATCAGGTGCGATTGCAGTCAAATACCAATTTTGTGCTGCATACAAATAGATGCCATTCTCATCCACTAATCGTTACAATTTTCAGGCAAAGGAAATCAAAAAGAACCCCCTCTGGTATTGCCTCGTGACAGGATTCTGCGCATCTTATTGCTTTATGATCCCTGTGGGTACTCCTGGAAATCTAGTGGTCCAGAGCGCGGTTAATATTCCAACTCGGAAAATGGTAAATATTGTCATTTAAAAATGGTATTTTTATAACTTGAGTAGGTACGGAACTATTCCCACCTCTCGTTCCCACTGCTGCAACTCCTGTGTAGCCACGACTACAGCTTGACCGCCAATAAAAACCCAACCAGTGAAGGTAAAGTTTAGAGAAATCTTGTGTTAGTCCCAAACTAAGCAAAGCTCCATAAGTAAACCAAATATAAAGCAGTTTTATTTCAGTTTGTATTCTTCAAAGATTTCTTTTTTTTTATTTTACAGATAATAGCAGGGGCAGGGCCCACTATCACCACAATAATAGTGACGTTCTTCGCGATGTCGTTTTGGGCGCCAGTGATTTGGCCTGAACTCCACGTGCTTCCTGACTGGGCATCTAAAATGTATTAATTTAATATATATTTTTGTTATTATGTACTTTAGGTTTTCCTATAGGCGCTTTTAACTGAGTTAATGCCTGAGGTATGGGAGCGGCACGGGAGGGTGTTTTTGAGACGTCAAACGTCAGCGAGACTTCAGATATGCTTCAGTACCTCTAGCATGAACAACTTTCGTCTTTGAATCGTTTGTGTATTCGATAAAATTCGATACTTAATCTTCGAATAAAACGATAACGTGACAATTTTCATTCTCAAAATAAGTTTCGTGCAGCCACATCTCATATTAAGTTCACTTTAAGACACGTTCACAAGGGCGCCGTTTGAATTTTCCTACTAAATACACTCGACAGCAAATAAATCGCACCACCCGCGATGGCGATTCGAGTACGCAATCGATTTGAACTCGAAAGTTTTTCGTGCTAGCCGTACCGATTGGTATGCTTTGTCACGTCATAATGTCAATGACGTTACCCCTCCTGTGCCTCTTCCATAGCTCAGGCACTGACTGCGTTATACAATTATACATTAGACCTATAATAGTACTTGTTATATTTCTCCTAAATTACAATTAGCTAGAATCGGTTCCCATGAGCATTATGTCGTCATTTTTCGCTTTCGAAACGTTATATTTAGTGTAGGTTATTATTAATGTCAAACCTGACCTTAACAGTTAACAAGATGTTATTATGATGTAGATATTATTGATAATGGTTTGCATGTTCAAGTTCTTATTTATTCAATAAATAAGTGAGTTTATAAAACATTGTTATCATTGTAACCTTACTGCCTACCTACTAAAAACAAAAGTTTTCTAAAGTACTACTTCATTTTTAAATTTTCAAGTAGAGTTAACAGGTCTCGTGAGGTGGAGAAAGCATCGCAGCCAAATCTTTGCCTTCAAACATACAGAGACTTTAAGAGGTTCATCTAGGTAGATAATGGGATAAATAAGACCCTTATCATCCACATCCATTTGATTAGTGGACGGTTTGATAACCATTTCTGTCATTTAGTAAAGAAATAATAAAAGATGAAACAAATTATTATGAGGGCTTACCTGTTTTCCGAAGATGATGGTCAGCTTCTAACGTAAATTGAGCAATGGACAATGGCTCCAACGCGTCCCTGCTATACTGCACTGCATTGCACTGCACTGCACTACTGCACTACACTGTACTGTATTGTATTGCACTGACTACGCCAACAATTTTGCTCTGGCTTTCACGCAATCTACTTAATGACTAATTTAAATTGAAATACTTTTATCTTTCACATTAATAAATATTGTGACTTAATAAACCGCTACTTCGCGATTTGAAACGAGGAGCGACACATCGATAAATTTAACTGTCAGTGTTGCCACCTTCAAGTAATTAAAAATATTAGTATTTTTAAAATTATCGTTTATTAAATTGATAGTGGGAAGTGTAGACAACCAAGCACTTTTTACCCAACTGCGCCAGAATGAGGGTTATGTTTTTCGAGTGTATGTCTGTATGTATGTATATTTCTTTGGCACGGCCTACAGCCTAAACGGCTTGACCGATTTTGGCGTGAGTCGGAGGCATCTAATAGGTACATACGAGTATCACCAACAAAAGAATTAGTCATTGATGCCTCCGACTGCATTTGTATAAGGCTGAGTTGTCTTGTTTTTATCTTTTCAGTAAATTTTTACGCAGTTGGGTTTTTTTTTTTCATAAATATTTTTAATACTAAGTTTAGGGACTAAGACACAATCATAGTAGCTGTATTGTCTTAATAATAAAACTTGAAGTCGTAAACACTTTTAAAACATGACCAACGTGTTTTGTAAACAAGTAACAATATACCATTGAAAATAACGTCGTAATTACTATTTTCTTAATATGGCAACCGATATTTCTGATGGGACTGATGTGAATCTAACACCATCACAAGAAAATCCAGCGCCAAATCCGTAAGTACTTGTTTGTACCTCGTTATTTACTGACTAGCAGCTGCCCACGACTTCGTACGCATGGAAACTTCCAACCCCCGTTTTACCCCCTTAAGGGCGGAGTTTCGTAAAATCGCGGATGTCTACACCTTATAAGAAACCTACCTTACCAAATTTCGAGTTTGTAGGTGTTTTAGGTAGTTACTGATTTTTCGCTTTTAATAAATAGACATTGTAAGTAATATTGGCTGAAACCTAACTATGAAAACAAATATTTTCTTAATTTTAGAGATGACGATTCTCCGCTGACGTGGCGTGAAAGATTCAAGCATTTCTTTTACACTTGTTGGAGGGGTTTGGTGTGTGTGATAACCCCTCTTATTTTGATACTGATTCTGATACCATTCCCGCCACAGGTGAGTAATTTTTGTAGGTACAGCACATCAAAGTAGCTTTTCCATTTTTTTGGAAATTGTGCCAAGAAAAACTTCTGTTCTCTCATCTCTGGATGGGATGCGCACGAAACTCTTTAGATACCCCGCAGACTGTAGACTTTTTCGATAGTTTGGTCGGATTCCAATTTGATTCGTGTGCCCTTCCATGTACATGTTCATACTGATTAACAGCCCGATCCAACTATCGGCCGACTAAAAGTCTGTGGTCTGCTAGACTTAATTATCATAATTTCTTTCAGAAGTACCAATGGTGTGCTTACACACTGTGCTTGATGGCAGTGTACTGGGTGACGGAATGTATCCCGCTGGCTATAACGTCTTTTATACCAGTCTTTATATTTCCGCTGACTGGAGTCATGGACACGGCTGCTACTTGCAAGTGCTATATGAATGTGAGTTAATTAATGTTTGGCATAGAACTTTCGTTGTGATGGTATATTCATCTAATCTAAATATTATAGGGGGGTACGGCAGTGCCCCTGCCAAGTCGAGCGCGAAGCAAAAACTGCCGTACCATCCTTTACTGGAACCATTTCGCCGCATTTTCAGGCCCCTATTTGAGAACCTCTGGATAAAACCAGAACGCAGAAATTTTCGTCATCCAGTAAGCCCCCTACCCCTATAATACCCCCTTTTTATCCATTAACTGCAACTGTGCAAAGTCCTAGGTAAATCGAAATTGATTTCATTTCTTAAGTTATAGATAGGCTTGCCATATTCGGCTACTTAGGCGAAGTTTAGTAAGATGTTATAGTCGCCCTGACTTCTGACTTCCACGAAGTCAATCATGGCATGTATTTAAAAAAATTAAGCCTATACTTAAATTACTTATATTGTGAATGTTTAGGATACAATACTAATGTTCCTTGGGAGTATGATACTGGCAAGTGCTGTAGAGCAATCTGGTCTTCATAAGCGCTTAGCTCTATGCGCCATAAGAGCTATTGGATATTCCCATTACAGGTACAAAAAGTTGCACATTTTTATCACCAGGTTTTTCCATGATTCCGCTCTGTGTCCAATAAATTTCAATTTCAACCCGATTAAGGTAACTGCGCACCTCGCTGGAATGCGACTCTCTTTCCCATTTACTCGCACACCTCTCGCTACACACACTCGTACTAGAGCATCGATGTTACGTTACGGCCACCAGACAAAAACACTCAAAAGCACTCATTCAGGGATATAGCAACAAAGTAACTAAGGAACTGCTAAAGTTCAAAAGATACAAAGCCTGTGCAGTGACTAGAATACTAACCGGCCACTGCAAACTAAACAAACACAAATCAAACATGAACATGACTGAGGAAACTCTGTGCAGATTCTGCCACACAGAAGAAGAAACGGCCATGCATGTTCTTTGCTCATGCGGCCCGCTTATGAGCAAAAGAAGTATCCATCTCGGGCGACACATCATGCACCCGGATGAGATAGCAGATATCACGCTCCAAAGAATCTGGAAATTCATAGACTCAACGGGACTAAGCAGTGAACTCTAAAGACAAGGGCTGCCACAATAGATCAAACCTGGTCGAGATGGCGCAAATGAAGGCCCAATAATAATAATAATAATACGGCCACCAGGTACGCAGTTAACTCGATCGGGTTGAATTGTTGCTCTTTGCTTTGGTAATATCCCGGCACAGTCGCCCCTGAATCATAATAAGCTTTGACTTAGCTCAAAAGGTATACCTAATTATAGAGTAATTTTATGAAACGATTAACATTCTTACTAGATCTTATACTTACTGTAGTATTATTTCAATATGCTTTAAATGAATTTTGATCCTTAGGCTGCTCTTCGCTATGTGTTTCATCACGATGTTCATATCAATGTGGATCACAAACACTGCTGCCACAACTATGATGGTGCCCATAAACTTTGCGGTACTGCAGGTCTTTGAAGACGTAAGTGCTTCTATAGGAGCTGAGATGCAGGTGACGTAGGGCAAAGAAAGTTATTTAAGTCAAAGCATGCAAATAACCTTAATATGCCGTTGAATTACGGTGCTTATTAGCTGCGCACAAATTTTAATTTTTAGTCCTCCAGTGACACTGCCCACTTTTAGCTTGTCACTGGATTGAATTTTCAAATAATTTTTCTTCCAGCAACTGGGCCCACTCCAAGATTGTAGAGTAGATTTTTGTAGATTTGGTGTTTAATTTAATAATAGAAACATTGAAGGGCCGAGTTACTAGGAGAAAAAAAATAACAATTCAATAACTTGGTCCGTGGACCAAACCAAAAGTGGGGCAAGTCACTGCACTTCACTGCACAGGGAAAACTCAAAATTTTAGGTGTCATCTCTGATTGAAGGTGCTAAAAGTCAACCTGACTAGTAGTGCTAGTAGTTCGAAAAACTCATTTTACCGATATTTAACCACTTATCATTAAATATGACAATTTTTTATTTTAACTAAGTACGGATCAAAAAACTGTGTCTAAAACGCCTGCATAAACGCCTGCATCTTAACGCCCTCTTATAAGTATTATCTAAATATATAAAAGGAGAAACTGACTGACTGACTGACAGATCAACGCACAGCCTAAACGGCTAAACGTAGGCACTTGAAATTTGGAAGGGACGTAGCTTAGGTACCGTAGAGGTGCACTAAGAAAGGAATTTCCGAAATTCCCACGGGAACGGGAATTAGCGGGAAAAACGGGATTGACGCGTACGAAGTCGCGGGCGGCCGCTAGTTTATTTTATAATTTTACATGTAACACAATGTTCAACTTCTAGCAAAACCTATTAAAGATATACGAAGTAAACAGCAATGGAGAAACGATCGCATCTGATTTAACGACCTGTTACTTCTGTGCTACAACTTTTTCGGCTACTATAGGTAAATTTATCACTATATTATGGATTGTATACAGTACAGTCAGCGTCAAATAGTTCATGACAACAAAACAGTTGACAACACAATCTTATTGTAACAGAGACGTCTTGGAAACTTATTAGCTACTTTGGGTGTCACGACTATTTGATGTGCATGTGGATTGAGTGATCCTTGCTTCAATCTTAACAAAAATCGAGGAAGTTTTACTTAAAATATGTTAAAACATTGCGATGAAGTTTAAAAATTTGTTAAACCTAAGATAAAAATGTTATGGCCAATAAATAGGAGCACTCATACCGCACGCTTTAAGAAAACGTCAACATGTTTATTTCAGAAAATAAAGCCTTTCCACTTCTTTTTATAGTATTGAAAAATTGTTAAGAATATGTTAAAACTATTAACAAATTCAGAAATTCCTTGCACGTCCCGTTCCAAAGTTATGACGATTATTTAGGATCACTCACACCGCACACGGGCCGTATGAGTGCTCTTCAAAATAATGACTTTTTATTAATAAATACGTTTTATTTCTGTTGGGAAATGTGTGCAAACTGACGAGCGAATTTGTTAAAGAATAAGTGTGACAAAACTTAAAAGCTGAAGGAAGAAATTAACCTTTATTCTTTCCTCCAATATGCCGTGTGAGTGATCCTTACTTTTACCTCTATCTGCTCATATGTAGTTCGTAGGCAGACTGAGATAGTATCTAAAATTGTTAATTGTTTTTAACAATTATTTGGCATATATTTTGCTTTTATTAAGGTCATAATTTAAGAAATATCAGGCTTAGATGATTCCTAAAGGAAAATGTTGATTAGGGTACATATGATTTTTTATTTTGTGAGACTGTTCCGATTCGTCAGACGTGACAATGCAAAACCAATGCAATCTAATATGTAGTAGGTTTAGGGGCCTCCGCTAAAACTCGCGGGGGGCGTCCGTCGCCGCGGTCGGCAGTAGCGCGAGTTTTAGTGGTTTACCCCTACATCTTGAATGATAGAAATAAAGAAACATTACAATTGTTTATAGGATTGAATTCAAATTTGACTTGTAATATGAATTGAGAAAGATACTCACGGTTTTATTTAAATAAATTACAAATTTCTCAACAAAACTGTTTTTTTTTTTGGTTGGACTATAAAATACGATAAAATAATATTATTAAATCTCACATGAAAACTTCTGATGAATCGAAACAGTCTCTCAAAATAAAAAATCATACGTACCCTAATCAACATTTTCCTTTAGGAATCATCTAAGCCTGATATTTCTTAAATTATGACCTTAATAAAAGCAAAATATATGCCAAATAATTGTTAAAAACAATTAACAATTTTAGATACTATCTCAGTCTGCCTACGAACTACATATGAGCAGATAGAGGTAAAAGTAAGGATCACTCACACGGCATATTGGAGGAAAGAATAAAGGTTAATTTCTTCCTTCAGCTTTTAAGTTTTGTCACACTTATTCTTTAACAAATTCGCTCGTCAGTTTGCACACATTTCCCAACAGAAATAAAACGTATTTATTAATAAAAAGTCATTATTTTGAAGAGCACTCATACGGCCCGTGTGCGGTGTGAGTGATCCTAAATAATCGTCATAACTTTGGAACGGGACGTGCAAGGAATTTCTGAATTTGTTAATAGTTTTAACATATTCTTAACAATTTTTCAATACTATAAAAAGAAGTGGAAAGGCTTTATTTTCTGAAATAAACATGTTGACATGTTTTCTTAAAGCGTGCGGTATGAGTGCTCCTATTTATTGGCCATAACATTTTTATCTTAGGTTTAACAAATTTTTAAACTTCATCGCAATGTTTTAACATATTTTAAGTAAAACTTCCTCGATTTTTGTTAAGATTGAAGTAAGGATCACTCAATCCACATGCACATACTATTAGACGCTTTATAACGATAGTTCATTTAAGTAATCTGTTTAAACTGTACTAAGTCATTTTTTATTCAGATTAAAGAGTCAGTTAAGGGTTTAAAAACAAGTAATTTTACTTTTTTACAGGAGGCATTGGAACGCTTGTCGGCACAGCTACAAATCTGGTCTTTAAAGGTCTATTTTCTAAGTATGTAATCCATTAAGGATTTCCTCATAAATCTCTTTATTAGTGAAAACCGCATGAAAACCCTTGCATAGATTAAAGCCCGTTTTCACCATCAATCCCTATTTTTAAGTGAACCCCTATGAAAACAAAATTCCTAGTTAACATAGGAGTCACTTAAAAATTAGGGATTGATGGTGTTGATGGTGAAAACGGGCAATAGGCACACAAAACTCCAGTGTATTTAGCTGGATGTGTCGTCTGTACCTACATAGTGTGTTTGTTGCAGTCTAAACTCATAATCGGTCAAAACCTCTTTTAACTGCAAAAATCAGTCAAGTGTTTTCGCCTGATTTAAAATTTTACCAATCAAAGACCAAAGATTAAATAGCGAAAATTACTTCTAAATCATCAAAAATGTGTTACAAACCATTCTAAAGTGTACCTAACATTTTTGTGATATTGTGCATGCAAAATAATCAAACACCTACTTTAGGTACTACAGTAATGTTGCTCTTTATTTTTCTGATATTTTTATAAAATCTAGGTAACAGGTAAGAAGTAGATTATAAAGTTCGGTCGGTTAAATAAAATGTTTGCACTCAAAAGTGGTTTTGACTAACGCAGTGGAAAAATCAATCAAAATTTATATTGACCAAGGGCATCAGTCAAAACCACTTTTGACTGATTTTTGCAGTCAAAAGTGGTTTTGACCGATTAGGTATTAGTTTTGACTGTAACATGTAAAACATAGGGACATACCTACTATTACTTTTTTTACGAGTATTACTTTTTTCCTTACAGAGCATTTCCAGACGCTCCCGAATATCTTTCCTTCCCAAAGTTTTCCGCATTCGCCATACCGTATATGCTTTTAATGGAAATAGCTATGTATTTTTACCTATTAGTCATGTACTTTGGATTTTTGAGGTTTGTAGTCCAAATACCTATCCAATAGAAAACACACGTGCAATTTAGTTCCAAAATGAAACATAATTTTAAAAAAGTTAAGAAATTGTAATTAACATAACATTTTAACAATATTTTTTGATGTGCCTACAATACATACTTTTGGGAAATTGTTTTAGACCAAAAAGCGATGAAGCAAAAAAATCTGTAATACCGCCAAATGGTATAGAAGCTGCTAAAATTGCCGTATCTGAAGATTGGAAAAGGCTGGGACGAATATCATTCTGGGAAATCGTATGTACTTGTACCTACCTATTTATATCATACTGTGTCATCAATAACAAATGTAATCATATCATTACATTTCTAAGAAATTATTTTCTCACGATACAATCTGCTGCTGATATAAAACGTTCGTTATTTTCAACCAAATGATGTCCACAGCTGGACAAAGGCCTTCCTTAAGGATTTCCACAAAGACCCGTCCTGCGCTGCTCGTAATCAAGTCCTTCCCCTCATAACCTTCAGCAAATTGTCGGTCCATCTAGTGGGAAGCCTATAAGCATAGGCACACTACGTCTTTTAACTCATGGTTGCCACTCGAGAACTTTTCTGCCAGCGGCCATCAACTCAACGATCTTTTGTGTATGTACCCCGCCCACTGTCACATAAGTTTGGAAATTCTTCTTTGGACCTATATTTGTTATTTGTTAAGCCAAAAGTTAAAAAACATAACCCTCCTTCTGGGTCAGTCGGGTAAAAAACGACAAATTGTATTATTATTTACAGATGGTGATAGTATTGTTCAGTGGTGCTATTATTATGTTTTTTTCGCGACACCCGCAAGTTTTTTACGGGTGGGGTGATTTGGTTTCGGATACATTTAATTTAAATAATGAGAAGTTGTAAGTACCTACACAGTTTTACCTTAAAAGAATTAAGTTACGTCATAGTTATAGAGGTAGAACCACTGTGATATTATAAAAAAGAACTTTCTTACAAAAAAAAAGAAAGAAAATCTTTACTTAGGAAACTTGGTATTTTGATCAATAGTCTAAGTTTTATAATAAACACCACATGCTTGTATCTAACTGATTTGAGCAAGCATTGAATTCATTATATTATAAATTAATTATTGTTTCTTTAACCCTAACCGCATATAGGTACCTATTTGTAACCTCTAATTAATTTTGCATTTAACAAGTGTCGTTTGTGTGTTTCTTTGTGAATACTACAATGACACTTTGTTGGTGATCAAATAGATAAATAAACACTTATACATTATTTTATACTAAAGTTTGTGCATTTTTCAGTGTATTAGATTCAGCTGCTGCTATACTTATTGGATTTTTAATGCTGCTCTTACCTTCTACCTTGGGTATCTTCAAGAATTGTACAGCACAAAGTAATTAATTCAAAAATATATTGTAGTTACTTTTTTCCATGTAGTCAAATCTGTGGCAAAACGGAAAAAGTAGTTAGATTTCAGAAAGTGGTGCAGCGCCTATTCGTGCTGCTAAAGTCGTTTAAAATTTGAAGGCGCTCTGAAAGATTTACTTAAAAATTATTTAAGTGTATGGATTATTGAGATTTTTGTCTTTTTGTAGTAAGTATGTAGTAAAGATATTTTTTTAAAACTTGTTCATGTTTTGTTACAGGTTACGAAGAATTGCCAAAGACACCAGTGCCATCAGTGTTAAATTGGAAAAGGATGAATAATACTATGCCTTACAGTTTTATGTTTCTTTTAGGTGTATATTTTTATAATTTACCAACACTCAGTAGCCAGTAATTAAGTTTATAAATAAATAAACCTTTATTGTAACCAAACTAGAAAAAAAAAAAGTTTAAATTATAAAAACAAGGTAACAAGAAGCATCCGGCTCAGCGTAAGCTGTATGGTACTATAATAATACAGGGTGACTTTGCAATCAGTATACAAATTTTTAGGAGCGACTCATAAATCAGTAACTTAATCGATTTAAATAAATAATTTTATTTATTCATATTTAGTTATTTTTATCCGCTGTGCGCGGTTTAAAAATGGGCACACGTGGATAATTTTCTTCGTTCGGTAAAATATGTACACACAATTAACTACAAAACTTTATAGACGTCATATTGGTACGCGAAAATAAGCCTTAACCTTTAAAAATTAAGATATGATTAAAAAGAATTAAGATAAAGTTGTATTGTTAAATATAGAGAATTGATTACAAAATTACCATGTATATTTATAGATACGTGCTGCGCTGGTTTTCAGCTCTATAGTCTGTGAGAGGGATTGCGAAAAGATTGATTAAAACTGTTTACATGTCAGGAGTAGGTAGGTACCCAACTGTTTCTTTACTCTTTGTTGTTATGCCTAACAATCATTATTATAATTTTAGGTGGTGGATTTGCCCTGTCTGAAGCCGCCAAAAAAGAATATTCTGACTTAAATGGCAAAATAGGAATAGTTTTGAGAAATTTAAGCAGTTTGCCAAACAATCTGATAATTCTCATTATCATCATCTTCACAGTTGCCATAACTAATTTTGCTTCCAATGTCGCCGTTTGTAATGTCGTAACACCAATAGCGATGCAGTTGGTAACTATAAAACACTTTAAAACCATTTATTCCACCTCACAAAATATATTTTTTACTAGCGGCCGCCCGCGACTTCGTACGCGTGGATCTCTTTTTACCCCCCCTTCATCTATCTTACGCGGTTCAGATTTTTTCATACAATTTTTTTTCCCGCTAACTCCCGTTCCCGTGGGAATTTTGCAATATCCTGTTGTAACTAAGCTTTAAGTTTACTAAGGTACCTGCATGCCAAATTTCAAGCGTCTATCTTACGCGGTTCAGATTTTTTCATACAAATGTTTTTTCCCGCTAACTCCCGTTCCCGTGGGAATTTTGCAATATCCTGTTGTAACTAAGCTATAAATTTACTAAGATACCTGCATGTCAAATTTCAAGAGTCTATCTTACGCGGTTTAGATTTTTTCATACAAATGTTTTTTCCCACTAACTCCCGTTCCCGTGGGAAATTTGCAATATCCTGTTGTAACTAAGCTTTAAGTTTACTAAGGTACCTGCATGCCAAATTTCAAGCGTCTAACTTAAGCGGTTTAGATTTTTCATACAAATGTTTTTTCCCGCTAACTCCCGTTCCCGTGGGAATTTTGCAATATCCTGTTGTAACTAAGCTTTAAGTTTACTAAGGTACCTGCATGCCAAATTTCAAGCGTCTAACTTAAGCGGTTTAGATTTTTCATACAAAAGGATTTTCCCGCTAATTCCCGTTCCCGTGGGAATTCCTAAGTATCCTATAACCTGCCCAGGAGTATGAAGAATAATTGTACCAAGTTTCGTTAAAATCCGTCGAGTAGTTTTTGTTTCTATAAGGAACATACAGACAGACAGACAGACAGACAGACAGACAGACAAAAATTTTACTGATTGCATTTTTGGCATCAGTATCGATCACTAATCACCCCCTGATAGTTATTTTGAAAATATATTTCATGTACAGAATTGACCTCTCTACAGATTTATTATAAGTATAGATAGATGATGATTGGTTTGAGAGAGTGTCGTGTCGGAAAACGCAGCGATTATAAAAACAATTATTGTAAAAAATAATTGCAAAAATATTTGCAGATTACCTTATTACATATTGTAGATCTTACACGTCTTTGTAACCAGCTACTAACTAGATTATAAAGTTAAGTTGTATTGAACCAAAAACTTATAACCCTAAACTGTTGCAGGCAAAAGAGATCGATAAAAATCCTTTGTGGTATAATATTGCTTCGGGATTTTCGGCTTCGTACTGCTTCTGTTTGCCAGTTGGAACTCCTGGAAATCTCATTGTGCAAAGTTCTGCTAATATACCCACAGCAAAAATGGTACGTAGATACAGTCCGCGCCTAGCCGGTTGTTCCCAACGTGTCACACCCAAATGTGACACTGTTACTCGTTGGGAAAAAAAATCCATCAAGTCACATCGTTACTCATTGGCCACAGTCATTATAACCTGTATTTTTCTTACAGTTGTGTAACATCATTGGTAAAACCTATAGTTTACATTAAAATGTAGATTGCCGAAGTGATTCTGCCAATGTCAAGTGTTTTGTTACTTTTTGTTCAATTAATATTTCCCATTCCCAATATCGACCGCAGCAGGTCGTTACGAACCTTTAATCCATAATAATAGTAGGTACCTTAGTCCGTTCAAAAAAATAGGTAGGGTAAACCACCCAATTATTGGCACTTTAAGCAGCTACTTCACAAAACCGGTAAAATTTGCATGTAAAAATATGTTTTATCAAAGAAAAAAACATTTATATTGGTCTTTTAATCTTTGCAGAATAATATAAAGTACTTATCATTAATAAATTAAATCATTTATTCAATATAGTGTACCTTTTAAAAAAATGNTCCGGTATTGACGGTGGCGCCCCACTGTCAATGTCATCGACAGGGCAATCCAGTATTTTGGAACTATACCACAGGGGTATCGTCAGAAAGAAAATTGTTCTGTCAACATAACATTCCGAGAATAAAGATAAAAAAATTAAAATCAGATGAAATGTCAATTTTTTTTATTAGACGAAAATAACTTAAATTTGAGTTATAGATGACCCACGCTGAACTGTCCCACCAAACTCAATGACAGGGGGGCGCTACCATCGTTCAACTATATGGTTTGCAACATGGCAAAAATCTGAACCAGCGATTCGGTATTGACGGTGGCGCCCCACTGTCAATGTCATCGACAGGACAGTCCAGTATTTTGGAACTATATCCCTAATTCAAATTTAAGTTCCCGCATCTTCGGTGGTCGTCGTGGTGGTTCCGGAGGCTGGTGCGGCGACTGGCAATATGCCATTGTCATTTGGATCCCACAGGTATGGAGCCCAATAACACAGGGAAAACCACAATATTCCACAACACCCCCAGACACTTAAAAATGAATATTTTATCTGCGAACAAAAAAAACTTCTGAACATCTGTGCATACAATGCAGATAACCTAGGGGCTATATTTCACCGAGACACCATGGCAGCGCAACCAGTCGCCGCTACCAACAAAATGTATACAGCTTTGCGCAACCAAACGGACACCAGGTGAGTAACTCTCTATAGAGCGGTATACGTTTTGTTGGTAGCGGGCGACTGGTTGCGCTGCCATGGTGTCCTGGTACCTTTATTCGGTTAAGGACAGATTCTGTTTAGGACAGATTAGGTTTACGACAGATTCTCTTTATGACAGATTCGTTTTATGACGGATTTTGTACAGTCAAGAATAAAATGTTTTTTTAACCAACGCAACGTCTCATGAATAGAGTTAACCAATTCGTTTCATGTTGATAGATGATGGCGTTTCACGGCATGAATATTTACGAATGTCAAAAACAGTAGTTTGTCCAGCGCTTTTTTTTATTTACTACTTGCTTTCGGCCCGCGGCTTTGCGCGCGTGTACTACATATTTTACGGAACCCAATTTTTTTCCAAAATAATATTTAGCCTATGTTACTCGTGAATAATGTAGCTTTCGAATGGTGAAAGAATTTTTAAAAACGGTCCAGTAGTTTTTGAGCCTATTCATTACAACCAAACAAACAAAGTTTTCCTCTTTACAATATTAGTGTAGATATTTTGACGTTCATAAGTGCCACCTGTGGTCTAAATTGAATTAAATATTTTTTATTTTGATTTTGCTGTAGATTTTAACCAATGACGATAGATGGCGCTTTTTAGACGTCTTATTTATTTATTGAAATTAATTTGTCACAAAATCCGTTCAGTAGTTTTTGCGTGAAAGAGTAGCAAACATCCAGAAAATCATGACATCCAGACATCCAAACTTTCGCCTTTATAATATTAGTAGAAAGTAGGATTATATTAATTAAATTAAATTTAAGCCTGATTACAAAGCTATTAATTTACACCATTTTTATCTTGTTACATCTTGGCCCAAATTTGTATGTAATCGTTTCCATCTTCTTTTAAATGATGAATGGGGAATAACGATTCAATATCCATAGTGCTTTTGGTTAATTAGGTAAGTGTTTTTTTTTAAGTTGTAATCTTAAATTAAATTTAATTTGATAATAAAAATAATAAGTGAGTTCTTATTCAGTAATAAATAGAAGGTACATACCTGATTCTTACATGAGTATTTTATTTTTAAAGTGCTGGGGATTAATTAACTTTTTAGTTGATTAATCCCCATCGTAAACTCCATTGGCGTTAACGGGGATTAATGAACATAAAGTTCACTAATCCCCGTTGACGGGGATTGTCAACGGGGATTAGTGGAATAAGACTTTGAAAGGCTTTGAAAGTGGCTGAAAAGATAATATTTTTTATTGGCACCAATGTTTGACACCCGTGCCAATAAATGGATTTTATATAATTGGCAGTGGGCCAACATTTGGATTGGTGTATTCAAAACGTTAAAAAATATTTTAAATGCAATTTTAACTCAATTTTGAGACAAACAAGGTATAATTTTTAATAAACTCAAATTATTTTAAATACCCTTTTATTGGCATGTATGCCAATAAAATGGATAAACAGATTTTACGCATACCAAATGTTGGCACACCACAAATATATAAAAATTGGCGGTTAAATTATAAAATAATGTTTTAAAAAGGCAGTTAATATATTCAATAATAAGACAATATGATTATGTATAGGAAAAACAAAATAGATTTGCATTTTTTTAAAAGATTATGATAGCTCTTACCTTAGTAAAAAACGAATATTTCGATTGTTTTTTTCGCACAGGTCCCGGTTTGTCAAACAAAAGGTTGATGCGCCGCGATGTTTGAAAAAATAAAAAACGTGTGTAGCCAGTTGAGTAATAAATGATATTACTGTACAATTTCTACTAAAAAATATAAGGTTCGGCTGCAAAAAACCTTAATTTTCTTAAAAAACTGGAGCATGCCAATAAATTGGTAGAGTGCCAATGATTGGGTGGTTTACCCTACCTTTTATAATAGGTAAATAAGATTTTACCTACCATTCTTTGAGGTATAGTAAGTAGGTAAATGCAACAAAAAAAAGGATTTTTACAATGGAATTAAATTATTGGAAAACACTAAATAAATAAATAAAAAAAACGTTTATTGCTTTTTACACATAAAAGGAATTACAGCGATAGGCAACACCGATACATTACAAACGTAATGTTAATGATTATACATAATTATGTATAATATGTTTCGAAGCTCTTAGCTAAAAGATCGTTTCCCTCCTTGTTACAGATTAAAGCTGGCGTAGGGCCAACAATCATCAGTATAATATTTACTTGGATATCAGTATGTTTTTGGGCACCTGTTATTTGGACAGACCTCAAGACATCTTTGTACAAGTGGATAATTTAAATAAAAATTGCGAAAAACAGAATTAGGTGACCCAGTGTGCTCTGGACAAGTTTTCAATTTTTTTCTTTTAATAAATCTTGAAAACATAAGTAAAACTAATAATAATTGTGAAAGAGTCATGAAAATACAAAAGTTACAGGGCCCTAAAGTTGCGCATAACAAATATTCGCGCCATTTTGATCGGTGTAGTTGGTGTAGTCACGACAGTCATTTAGAGTACAAACAGTGGGTCTAGTCAAAACGCACTTTAAAATCGCAAACCAGTCGCAAACAAATAAACAAATCGCAAAAGAGGTCGATAACAAAAAAGGTTTAGCTTGGTTTGCGATGGGTTTGCGATTTTAAAGTGCGTTTTGACTAGACCCGCAGCTCTCTGTTTACGTCTATGCTTCGCTGTCAAACTAGCTGTCAAAACGACATCGCGATACGGATTTGTCAAAACGGCCTTAGGGTGGGTTGCACCATCTTAGTTTAACTTTGACAAACGTCTAAAATCTGTCAAACTCCATACAAAAAACACCGGTTAACGTCATAGTTACGGTCAAAGTTAGGTGGTGCAACTCACCCTATTGGTTTTCGATCGAATCGAAGTTTATCACCGGGGTGTTAGTAATCGCAATGAAAATGGCGGGTGTTGCGATTCGATTCGATTTTGATTGAGTCTTAAATGCATGTTGGCTAAGCCTTTGTATGGGAAATTTCAATCCAGTCTTTCGATTATCGATTGGTAGGGCTTTACGATTCGATTTTTTGCCGTTTGGCTTAGCCTTTTTTGTTATCGACCTCTTTTGCGATTTGTTTATTTGTTTACGATTGGTTTGCGATGGGTTTGCGGTTTTAAAGTGCGTTTTGACTAGACCCACTGGTTTGTGATGGGTTTGCGATTTTAAAGTGCGTTTTGACTAGACCCACAGTGGACAAAGTGCAAATTATAATCGCAAACCAGTCGAAAAGTGGTCGAAAAGCCCCTTTTTTGTATGGAATTTTGACGGATTCGATTTTCGATTCGATCAAAAAGTGCGTTTTGTCTAGGGGGGCAGTTCAGTTTGGGTCATCTACACCACTGAACTGTCCCACCAAACTCAATGACAGGGGGGCGCCACCATCGTTCAACTAAGTTTCCAACAAGGAAAAATATCGGAACCAGCGATCCGGTATTGACGGTGGCGCCCCCCTATCAATGTCACGGGTGGGGACAGTTCAGTGTATTGGGTCTATGAATTTATATCCCCAAGCTAACTCCCCATTTTGAGAAATACCCAAAGCCACTAAAGGATCGAGGTACCCTTGGCAGGGTATCGTGTGTCTGAAATGTTAAACATTAAAAACCCACGATATAGATGACCCACGCTGAACTGTCCCACCAAACTCAATGACAGGGGGGCGCTACCATCGTTCAACTATATGGTTTCCAACATGACAAAAATCTGAACCAGCGATCCGGTATTGACGGTGGCGCCCCACTGTCAATGTCATCGACAGGGCAATCCAGTATTTTGGAACTATACCACAGGGGTATCGTCAGAAAGAAAATTGTTCTGTCAACATAACATTCCGAGAATAAAGATAAAAAAATTAAAATCAGATGAAATGTCAATTTTTTTTATTAGACGAAAATAACTTAAATTTGAGTTATAGATGACCCACGCTGAACTGTCCCACCAAACTCAATGACAGGGGGGCGCTACCATCGTTCAACTATATGGTTTGCAACATGACAAAAATCTGAACCAGCGATTCGGTATTGACGGTGGCGCCCCACTGTCAATGTCATCGACAGGACAGTCCAGTATTTTGGAACTATATCCCTAATTCAAATTTAAGTTCCCGCATCTTCGGTGGTCGTCGTGGTGGTTCCGGAGGCTGGTGCGGCGACTGGCAATATGCCATTGTCATTTGGATCCCACAGGTATGGAGCCCAATAACACAGGGAAAACCACAATATTCCACAACACCCCCAGACACTTAAAAATGAATATTTTATCTGCGAACAAAAAAAACTTCTGAACATCTGTGCATACAATGCAGATAACCTAGGGGCTATATTTCACCGAGACACCATGGCAGCGCAACCAGTCGCCGCTACCAACAAAATGTATACAGCTTTGCGCAACCAAACGGACACCAGGTGAGTAACTCTCTATAGAGCGGTATACGTTTTGTTGGTAGCGGGCGACTGGTTGCGCTGCCATGGTGTCCTGGTACCTTTATTCGGTTAAGGACAGATTCTGTTTAGGACAGATTAGGTTTACGACAGATTCTCTTTATGACAGATTCGTTTTATGACGGATTTTGTACAGTCAAGAATAAAATGTTTTTTTAACCAACGCAACGTCTCATGAATAGAGTTAACCAATTCGTTTCATGTTGATAGATGATGGCGTTTCACGGCATGAATATTTACGAATGTCAAAAACAGTAGTTTGTCCAGCGCTTTTTTTTATTTACTACTTGCTTTCGGCCCGCGGCTTTGCGCGCGTGTACTACATATTTTACGGAACCCAATTTTTTTCCAAAATAATATTTAGCCTATGTTACTCGTGAATAATGTAGCTTTCGAATGGTGAAAGAATTTTTAAAAACGGTCCAGTAGTTTTTGAGCCTATTCATTACAACCAAACAAACAAAGTTTTCCTCTTTACAATATTAGTGTAGATATTTTGACGTTCATAAGTGCCACCTGTGGTCTAAATTGAATTAAATATTTTTTATTTTGATTTTGCTGTAGATTTTAACCAATGACGATAGATGGCGCTTTTTAGACGTCTTATTTATTTATTGAAATTAATTTGTCACAAAATCCGTTCAGTAGTTTTTGCGTGAAAGAGTAGCAAACATCCAGAAAATCATGACATCCAGACATCCAAACTTTCGCCTTTATAATATTAGTAGAAAGTAGGATTATATTATAATCTACATCTACACTAATATTATAAAGAGGAAAGATTTATTTGTTTGCATTGAATAAGCATCAAAGCTACTGGACCGATTTGAAAAAATATTTCAAACTATTGTGCAAAGTATAAGATGCAATTAATATTTTAACTTTGTTTTTGTTTTAAACTAGTTAGCTAAATAAACTTTTTTTTTAATAATCTGTCTTTTGAATTATGTACTCAATTGTATTTCTGTCTTAAAACGAATCTGTCATAAAGATAATCTGTCGTAAACCGAATCTGTCCTAAACAGAATCTGTCCTAAACCGAATAAGCCTCCTGGTAAAATATAGCCCTAAGTGTTGGACTCCTATGTCATTCTTTCTTGCAGTGATAGAATGGGCCTACTTAATAGGAGATATTAAGTGAAAACTTCATTAAAAGTAAACTCTCTCCCGGCTTGGGCTACGGGCGGTGACTTCAATGTTCACCTACTAAGGACTGACTTTTCAATCGTCGGATAGCTTATAACTGAAGAATAAGTTTGGCACACTGACAGTTTCAGGAAAATGGTAATATTACGCGGACGAGCTGTCGGTCAGTCCCCTGGCTCTCCCGAGGCGGAGTCCGCATGTGCTCGGTGGTGTAGCGTGGTACACGGGGGTAGCGGACGGTAACAAGTGCTTTCTCGAAAGTTTTAAGAGACGTTCGAACGAGGTTTTTTAGTAATAAAGTACCTAAAAGTTAAAATTTTATTTATATTTTTCTTCCTATTTACTTACATAATTATGTACTATACCATTAATTTGTTTATGTAAAATGAAATACTCCAATTTATTTAATTTAATTTTCATTTAACTTAGACACAGGGCATTTGGAATCTCCTTAGTTATTATTATACCTACCTGTTAGGAGGAGTTCCCGCTCTACTAGATTTCCAGATGCCACACATTTAGATACAAGTAAGTATGTTTATGTAAATTGACCGACTTCAACAAAAGGAGGATTAAACATTACTTCAACGTAATATATAACTTTTGGTGCTTTTGTTGGCAAAGTGTACACGTGCCCATTTAGCTTACTCCGCATTTTGACAAATCCCCATTTTGCGAACTCCACATTATTTATGAGATATCCCCATTTTGAGAAGTCCACCTTTTGAGAAATCATCATTATGCTACTAAAGGTTCGAGACCAAGTCCACGCAGTCAATCCTGCTATTACTACATTGGTCAACAAAGCCATGTCCAGGACAACACGCCTGTGTTCCAGAGACAAGAGGTTATTAATTAAGCATACAACTTTACGACAACGAAAGTTGAAAATGATAAGTTTATTCTGCAGTTAAAAGATATCTGACGATTGAAAAATCAGCCGTAACTAGTCCAAAGAAAGTTTCGAAGTTAATTTGTACCACCAGTGATAAGGAATCATTATTTAATTTTCAGGTTATTTAGGGTAAATCATCTAAAAATTTACACTTATATCAAATCTGTACCCCCAGTGAAAAGGGAGTTAAGTCGAAAATGGTGATTTTTGGGAAATCGCATTTGAAGTTAAAAAAAATCCTGCTTCGTCGCTATTAGAGATAACTTGGTGAAATATTTTTTAGGTGAAAGGTAATGTTAGATATAATTAGGCAGTGTGCCAGTTTGGGAAATATAGCTTGTGGTCTTTCGTAATTAAATAAAAACCTAGTTATATCACCATGCACGACAACTTTACATTCGTGTAAAGTGATGTAATGAGATATAAATCATTTTACACCACACTGAATTAACCACACGCTAACAAGTGTAAAGTGATACATTTTCCACCATTTCTGTTGATAATTTTTTGTTTCTTCAATTTTAGAAAAAGTTGTAAAACAAACATAAGTAATTACACTATGAGGAATCATTATTTCAGGTTATTTAGGGTAAATCTTCCAAAAATTGTTACTTATATTAATATACACCAATTTTGTGGAGAGAAAAAAAATGTGTAAACTGATCTAACTAACATAATAGCGATCTAAGTATCCTAATAATTATGTGTAAAGTGATATAAGTGGCGACTGTAAAGGAATAAGGCTAGAATTTGAGACTGAATTCTAATTATTTACTCCTTAAATGTTTATTCTGATCTGAAACTACTATTTTATTCATTATTACACCATATACCATGAATGATATCGGCCTAAATCACATACATTATCTCCTATTATAAAGTAAGTATAGCTGAAGCAATTGTGTAGTAAAGACCAGAAATGACAATGGTTTCACATGAACTAATTAGACAGGAGACAGAGAAAAGTTTGTTTTCTACAATTACCCTTTTAGGAATCAAACCCTGGACCAGAGATGGTGATGTCAAGGTATATTGATTGCCTTTTGGCTACAGAAGGATAATAATGCTTTTGTTTTCAACAAAGAGGCTTTTAAACAGCCCTTTAACACGTCCTAGTATTACTTGAACCCTACAATAATTTTGGGACATAAATGGACCAGTGCTGAGAAGAAGCAGCGCAAGAAATTTAGCCACCCTTGTCAGACTCTTCTTAAATCATAAATAACTTGAAAAAATCGAACTGCCTAGGGCGGGAATCTTCTTAAATCAATAGAGACATGAATTAACAAGACATGTTATACTTGTGAGCTAAGCAGATAAAGTGCAGCAAGACATGCCATTTACATAATTATTTACTTTATACATAGTATCCATTCATAAGGACTTTCGTAGTGTTAATTATGAAAAATCTAAAACGTTAAAATAACGGTATAGTTGTGGCCAATGAGTTGCTGTCATAGTGACATTGACAATATACGTCAATGTCACACGAGAATCAAACGTCAGAATAGAGGGACGCGCGGAGACGACTCCGCGCGCTTTTGTGCTAAGTAATTAATTGTATCTAAAATAAGGCAATATAATGTGAAAGTTAAGTATCCAGTGTTTTATTTATGAGAATAGATCTACCGGCCTCTAATAGTTCAGAAGTGGGAAGTGGCCTCTAATAGTAGATAGTTTCTCAGGGCAATCGAATATTGCACTTAGCCTCTTGATTAGACCATTGTGTGCTATTTGTAATTTATCTTCCTATTCCAATCGCTTCAGATCCCCCCAAGTAGCAGCAGCCTATCTAGGTCGCTACAGGCCTTCTGCAGCGACCCTGGTGATTGGAGAATTTGAGCCTGTTGATCTGCTACGCTTGTGCACTACTTGTGCACGTGCTGCGGTTTTTCTTCTGCCTCCATGCATATTCTACACAGTAGGCTGTCTGTAACAGCTATATTGTGTAGGTGTTTGTTTAACATACCTGTTATTACACTTAGGACCTTGTGGATGTTGTCCCTGTTTAGCCTTATGAGGCTGCGGGAGAACTTTTTCGATATATCCACAACTGCATCTTTTGTTTGCCTGCATCTTTTACAATCTTTCCATTCTGTGTGGTATTATTTTTCTATTTTGGAGCGCAGCCAGGTCTTGATCTGTGCTTATGGTATCGGCATTATAGGTAATTGTTCCGGACCAAATACCGTCTGCTGCGTCGTTGCCCAAGGAGTTACTGTGCCCTTTGATCTACTTCAGGAGTGCAGGGTAACGCCATTTGCGTCTGCAATGACTTAGGAGCGCGTCATGGCATTCCAATATAAGTATTATAATGTAGTATATTAAGTTGCTTTGTATTGCTTGCACTATCTGAGATTATTTTTATATTCAGACCTCGGATGTCTATGGTTGCAATCGCCTGTGCTGCTCTGATTGCATTCTGCTTGGAAAATTGTATTGTGTTTATCTAGTGTTGTAGATATTCTTAGTATATTTAGGTAATTCGAGAAGACACCAGCTCCTGTACCTTTTTGGGTTTTGGAGCCATTAGTGTATATACTAAGTTCATTGATTCCAGAGCAATCTTGCGTTTCCGCTGTAAGCTGGATATTATAATCTTCAGTCGAAGATTTGAACACAGGGAATTCTGTCGATGGGTGCCTCGGTGAGAGGTATTTCTTTTATTAGGGTTTTGTGCAGGATCGTGGATTGTCCTGTCTCCTTGTTTTGCTTCTTATATGTCCTTGACCTTTAAGTCTTAAAGCGGCTGCTTGCGCTTCCTCCTGAATGAAGAGGTCTAAAGATCTAAGATTCAGAAGGTACTCAAGTGATGTCGATGGAGTGGTTCTCATACAACTAGTGGCCGCTATGCTTACTATGCGTTGCAGGCTTTGGAGTTTTGATCTTGCTGTGGATAGTTGTGTTCTATGCCACCATACAAGTGATCCATAATAATATGTGTAAGAGGGCCATATAACCGACGTGTACAGCCAAAGTGTTATCTTTGGGTTGAGACCTCATCTACTACCAATGAGTCTCTTGCACTGATGGAATGCTATACAGGCCATTTTTATTTTGTTCTCGACATGACTCGCCCAGTTCAATTTGTTGTCAAAGGTGATGAGTTTTGTTTATAAAGAGTTCTGGTAGTTGGAGCTCTTGTAAATTCTATAATGCACTTATTAAGTACTTTTATTGACAACGTTAGGCACTTTGAATTCAATTATATGTTTTACTAGTAGATGTTCACCATTATTTATTAAAACTATTAACTAAAGTTCTTTGATTTATAAACTACGACATTATTTTTTCCTTTAATCTGACGTTTGGGCTAAGTTATATCATTTTACACCAAATAATTAACCAAATTATTAGTTGCGATTTTCAAATGTTTCTGATCTAAGTAACTTATAACATTTTACACATGTACGAAACTTTTGTGGTTAATGGTATTAGTCTAATTGAATCATTATACACAAAAAAAATAACCTTTTGTTTTTTACTTTTTGTGATATAAATTAAGTTACATTCTTTTTCACCAACCAACAATACATAGTTTTTTTTGTGTATATTAATATGAGTCATCTTATATTGTTAATCACAAATTCAATCTGAACAACTTCAATCGTGTAAAAAGTAGTAACACGAGTCATACCTCTTGACACAATAAAAAATTGAAAGAAGCCTCCGGTACACTTTGTTAAAAGTAGACATGTATCAATATACACGAAAGAAAACTCAAAATTGGTTCACAAAGCCTTACTTGTATCATTTGGCACAACATTATTTTCTTTTCTATACGTCGTAGAAACATACCGATTAGATACAAAAATAGCAAATTTTTCAGAGATTCACATTATGTTATAAAGTCAATTTTGATCTAAGTCGAGTTAGATCCCTTTTCACTGGGGGTACAGAAATTATACACCAATTTTGTGGTAAGAAAAATGCATACAACAAAATAGTGTAAGCCTAGGCGCAGACCATCGATTTTTCATCGGCCGATAGTTTAGTCGGGCTGTTGATCAGTATGGGCATGTATGGAAGTGCGCACATTACGCAGATTCGATTTGGCCGATTCTTCATACAAATTAAAATCGGGCCCAACTATCGGCCAATTAAAAATCGGTGGTCTGCGCCTAGTCTAAATGATGACGCGCACGAAATGGACGGCGGCGGAGCGGGGCGATCGCAATACTACATCTCATCGTCGCCGCTCCACCGTCGCATCGCCCCGCCATCGCTCGGCTGTCGCCAGTTTCGTGCCCGCAGACTAAAGCCATGTATTCATTAGGCAACATTTGTTGATATAGTTCCAAAATACTGAACTGTCCTGTGCATGACATTGACAGCGGGGCGCCACCGTCTATACCGGATCGCTGGTTCCGATTTTTGCCATGTTGGAAACCATACAGTTGAACGATGGTAGCGCCCCCCTGTCATTGAGTTTGGTGGGACAGTTCAGCGTGGGTCATCTATAAACTGTTTATGACAGGTTAAAATATGTTGTATGTTTCAATACACCATACATCTGTTTCCGCAATTTATTACACCGATCTTGTCGCGACAAGGAAAAATTTCCGTGCTTTTAAGCGATTTTGTGAAAAATATTATTGGCAGGTAGTTGCTAATTGCTCATAAGATNAATGAATGGCAAAAAAGATGGGATACGTCAGTCAAAGGACGTCACTTATATAAATTCTTCCCGAATGTACGCGAACGTCTAACTAGGCGATGGTTAGAAATCGACCATTGCTCGTCGCAGTTCCTCACGGGACATGGCAACTTTAAACATAAACTTCACGAATTCAAACTAGTTCCGTCTCCTTTTTGCGAGTGTTCCACTGATGATGTCAGTCATGAGCAGTCTGCCCATCATATCTTGTGGGAGTGTGATCTTTGGAAACATGAACGTGATATAATGCTTAATTCAATACAACATACATCTGTTTCCGCAATTTATTACACCGATCTTGTCGCGACAAGGAAAAATTTCCGTGCTTTTAAGCGATTTTGTGAAAAATATTATTGGCAGGTAGTTGCTAATTGCTCATAAGATAGGCCCCCTTAATTTAATTTATTGTCCGTGGTGCATAATCTTTTTCTTAAAGGTTTAAACCTTTGTTTGTCACCTGTCATCCGCTTTGCAATGGAGGGAAGTCGAACCTTAATTTCGAACTCCTCCTATGTTCTTCTGATTAATTTCGTTGCGGGTCCAATGACAGTTTAACTTTCCCCCGGGACAAACTTGACCTTCATTGGTTGGGTTTTTGTGGCGGTCAAGCTGTAGATCCTGGCTACACAGGAGTTGCAGTGGTGGGAACGAGAGGTGGGAATAGTCCCGTAAACTGTTTATGACTAGTGTGAAACATGTTTACCATAAACACATGTTTCTGAAACTTGGCCGTCCACACTTGCTCTCCACTCATAGCGGGGAGCACGGCAACATGGTATCGTAAACAATGTTTCATCACCTATATTTATGGACTGTTTATAAACTGTTTACAGAGATGATGAAACATTATGAAACATTGTTTATGAACAGTTTATAAACAATGTTTATGAACAGTTTATAAACAGTGTTTATCAACAAATGTTGCCTAATGAATACATGGCTTAAGTATCATACAGCATGAACGAACAATACAAATAACTCACCATTTTTAAAACTGGTACTTTTCCTGTATAGTGACAAAAATACGCAGGTGTATACAGAAAAGGCAACATAAAGCCTAGTGACGAGCCCACTCCTACACCCAATGCCGCTAAATATAGTTTGCCCTGCCATGGGACTGGTGCTGGACTCACGCTCTGAAAGAATTAAAATTAGAATTATACTAAAATTACTGCCACCCATTTAGATTCTGGGGTATTGGGTAGATAATAGGCTAGTTTCCTAAAAAAATTTTTTTAGTCCGTCATGTTTACTACTACAGCAGGTTTATATTATGTACATACCATATTAATTACAAATGGTAAAATGCACACAAGAGCAGCGCATCCAGTCATAAAGTTTGCCAATATACAAGTAATAAGGCAAACTAAAAACAGTCCCACACACCAGCTTGGTGACGTAAAATCTTTGCCAAAGTTTTCTGCCAAAATTTTACCAAGGCCGCTGTCCCTGGCCGACTTATTTATGGCTATAGCCGCTCCTGAAAGAATGGTACCTACTTAAATAACTAAACTAGACTAAAATAAGAACTAAACCTATGCTTTAAGTTTCATTTACGGAACACCCAATAATGAAATAGTCATGTTTAAAATTTTATTAAAAACAATCAACGTTAACTGCGCACCTGGCAGCCGTGATACGATCTGATACGGACAAGGCAAACGCGGGGAAGTGTGCGGGTATGGCCCAGAACAGACGGTGAAACGCAACTGCAACGAAACTGCAACTGCTAGTTACTTTTGAGTTGCATCTAAGTTTCTTACATAGCGTCCGTTGAGAGACCACACATGACGCGAGTAGTTGCAGTTTCGTTGCAGTTGGTCTCACCGTCTGTTCTGGGCCTTAGTGGATGACGCATTCCAGCGAGGTGCGCAGTTAACTCCATCGAGTTGTAAATATTGACCAAAACCACAGAAAGCATCCAGTGTCCTTCAAAATTATGTACTATGTATGTGAGTTTTATTAGAACTTACCGCATATGAAAAAGTATCCATAGTTAATGTTCTTGTCAACAAATCTCCACCAAAGAATCGCAGATTCAGGTTTCAGATCTTTCAATTCGCTTTTTTCTAAAAAAATACAAAATTTATCGTAATAAGTTACACAAATATTACTGTGATACTTGAGACATCTCAGTCATAATTATTTATAAGATCAGATAAGTATGCTTTTACTTAGATTTCAATTTACTTACTATCCACACTAACGAACTGCCAAAAATTAAAGCTTTTTGGCAAAATGTGCAAGGCCACAACAAATATAGCAGCTACACATGCATCTTTGACACTGAAATTAAGAAAAAAACAATGAACAAAAACGAATCCGATCGGAGAGATGTGCAAATAACGAAATATGGAGCATATTTTACGAAATATCCGTCTTGGTGGATAACCACACAAATCGGAATGTATCTATACAGATTATACGGAAAATACGTTTCCCAATAAGGCTACATAATGTACTATCAAAATTTAGGTAAACTAAATCATCAAAAGTCCATAATTTTAAATAAAAAACTTACAAAGGTACTTTTTCAGCACCAGCTTGCAGATTGTATTGAGCCCATCCTGGATCTTGGTATTTATTCCATCGCACGAAAAGGATTAACAATGAGAATAGAGAGAAGAACACGGTCAGCTGCAAGCAATATTCATAGTAATAAATGGCCAAGTGTGTGCAAAGCCATGCAATAGCGATGGCTCCTACGTATACTGGCGTAAGTGAAAAAAGTAAATTTTACAGGAGAGCCATTTTAGTGGCCAGAACCATATTTTTGGGTCATATCTTCTGACCTACTAAAACGAATTTAATGAAATTTCACATTTAGCCTTAACATGTAATGCTTTTGCTACTGCTGTTATCAATTTTTATATTTTTCTTATATATTTTGAGATTTTACGCATTGCCCTTTTACGTCGTCACATTTCTATAATTTCATGTATATTGTTCAACGTAAAGAGACTTAAATGACAACATAAATATAATATTTTAAGCGATTACTCTCTTTATTTATGCATGTAATTATTTTAATTGTTATCATGTGCTATATCAATAATAAATCAGTTGGAAAAAGTTGTTTAATGTATCGTTATTACGTTTTAACGCAAATACGCCCATATACTGTGCTCGAGATTTAGTTAGGTCTTTTAACATAATGTGTCATATTTTTAAAAAATATAAATAACTTGAAAAAATCGAACTGCCTAAGGCGGGAATTGAACCCACGATGCCTTAGGCAGTTCGATTTTTTCAAGTTATTTATAATTTTCAAATTAGTTTGAGATGCGACTCTTAACGCTAAAAATTAAATAACTATATAATATGTCATAATTTATAAATAAAACAATTTGCTAAATATTTTCATGGCTTTATTTAAGATTTGGATTATAAAAAATATATATTTATGTAAGCAACTACTCGTATAGATTGACGAATCGTATGATTGGGCTTTATACGTGGCGTAGTTTTGCACATACGCCTATTTGCCTAAAATTTTATTTTGTATCTAATGGAAAAAAATTTTTTTTTTCTTACTGACGTTATAGATTAGAGCAAAATGAAATCATTGCTTAAATAATTGGAAAAAGGCGTAAGCGGCAGTTTCGCCTTTATACGTAGGAGCCATCGATAGGGCATTTGCCACCACCAATCAATGAGGGTTTTCGCGAATGAAAAATCCGCCAGATGGCAATACGTAGACGCGAGGTCCAAATGCTGCATGATTGGTTAATTTTGACATGACATTGACAGATATGTCAAAATCCACCAATCACGCAGTAGTCAGACCCCACATCCACGTCCCGCCATCTAGCGGATCTTTCATTCGCGAAAACCCTCATTGACGTACTTTTTAAAACTGTCAAAACGATACTCTCCTATAGATTTTGTATGGCAATACTTACTAGCCACGGACGTCACAATTTGTTCAACTCGATTAAACTACCTTTTTCAATTAGGATGCAATCAAAAATGTTAAGTAATTACAGGTAATTTAAAATTAATTAAGTTTTTAAGACCAGAATGAAGTGCCTTTTTAAAAAGTTGTGCTTTAGAATTATTGGGGAGTGGTGGCAAATACCCATTTTTATTTTACATTGTAATAGGGGCGATATTGCAACAACAAGTATGGTCTGATGTGCTGTCGTCTGTACGACTTAGGCTTCTTATACACGAGTGGCATAGCCGATGGCAGTGGCAACGGCAGCTGTCGCCATTTTTTGACGGCAACTGTCGACTCGTCGACGGCAGCCGTCGTCACGCCGACAACTGCCGCCGACAGGAGGCGTTAGCTGCAGTTGTAGCTTGTTGCACCCTGTACAAAGAGACAGCTACAACTTTTTTGATTATTTTTTTTGCTGTCGTTGACGTGGCGACGGCTGCCGTTGCCACTGCCGTCGGCTATGAGCCGCTCGTCTATAAAAACACTTACCTTTTCATGTAAAGTCACCCTTTTTGGAACACTATCCTTCAGCTTCATTATATTTGTGCGTACTTCATTCATAGTTCCAGCAGACATGGGTTTTCGGACAAAACTAAAAAGGTAAAGAACATTATTACAATCAATATTTTGATTCCTTTATTTTATGTGCAAGCAAAGGGCGTATGGCCTAGACAAAGTAAAATTTGTGACAGTTAATTCAAAATCTCTTTACTGAGCAAAGTAAGTACTGCAAAAAACACCGAAGTGAATTTAGAATTACAATTTGTTCTTTTGCTGATGAACCACACCCTTCATGAGATCAAAAGGCCGAGGGCCAACATTCAAAACTTTGTTTTTATCATCATCATTTAAGCCACAGATTGTTCACTGCTGAACATAGGCTTCCCCCATTGTCGGCCGTTTGGTGTAGTGGTTCGAAATGGACTACTATTCCGGAGGTAGCGGGTTCGATTCCCGCACAGTACAAACATTTGTGTGCATGAACATATTTGTTTGTATTGGACTGGGTGTTTTCTATGTATAATAAGTATGTATTTACAAAAAAAAAAAGTATTTAAGTATGTTTATATCCGTTGTCTAGTACCCATAGTACAAGCTTTGCTTAGTTTGGGACTAGAAGCGCAGTGTAAAATGTCTAAGGATATTTATTTATTATTTATTTATTGATTTCTAGCCTAATCGATTGGCAGGGGCCTACACCCAGCGCCTTCTGCTACCTTTAGAGGTCGTCTGTCCACCTTGTGGGTGGATGTCACACGCTGCGCCTTTCGTTGATGTTGAACTTACATGTTGACGAGTAACATGTGATAGCAGACGTTGAACATAAACATTACAACAGAAACAGGGAATGCGTAGGCAGAGTACTGCAAATAGTTGAAAACGTCCGGGTACTCCTTTCCAGCTTCAGGTGAAGCACTAGAAAAGAAATTGGGGATATTGTTATTCTTTAATTGGGATGATGACTGGGTATTAAAATATTAGACACGTATTTTTTAATTTTTTTCATAATCGACTAATTACAGTATATAGAAAAAATCTACATAGGCGTGAGTTACGGAACACGCCGTTTCAAATTGCTGTAGCACTGTTATTATTTAATTATGAAAGAACATAAAAAATACGAATCTAATCTTTTCTAAAGCCTATTTAGGCAAAAACACCTCTAGTTTTTGGGTTTTTTTTTTAAATACCTTCGTCTTTCATAGTCTTGAAATTAATATAATTTTTTATGATGTTATTAAGTTTGAAACTACTTACTCGCACCACACAGCTTTGAATACAAGTGTTGCGTACGCTGAATGTAAGATTGCAATACTTCCTAAAACAAACAAGCAAAGTTGAAAATCACTTTAAAGACTGAATTTGTCTTTATTCCAAATAACCAAAGTTCAACATAATTTACAATTGTCTACGGTATAAATATAATGGCTTTTAATTAAAAAGAAATAACGTATTAAATAGTTTGTACCCACCAATCGATGACGAAGTTTGAATGGCGTTGTTTATAATACACCGCATCTCGTCAAAGTTTGGTTCAGCACCAGATTTTCCGTATGACGACTGAAAAGCGATAAAAAGTAACCTTTTTGTATTTAACAAAAACAATAACTTTTTTTAAAGAGATTTCAATCATCATCATCATCAAAATAGGTGTTTTGAGCAGAACGTCAGTCGTGCGTTTGCGAGGCCGCACGCTGTTGGTAATTGATTGTCATTTTTATTCCAACGCAGTTGTAATACAATTTTTAGTGTGCGGTCCTGCAAACGGAAGACAAACGTTCGTCTCTAGACGTCTAATTAGGGCGCCTTCAAATTAGACGCGTTTTCATACAATTTTAGATGCGCAGTTGCAGCGCCACTACCATAGTGACAGTGTGATAATAACATACGGCTGTTGCGCTTCTAGATATTGTATGGAAACTAGTAGTGGCGCGGAAAGCGAGGCACAGTGGCGTCACTGCAGTGTTACCTTAAGCGTCTAATTTGAAGACGCACTTAAGAGCTATAAGGTTGCATTAAACGGGTAAGAATAATAAATAGAAAAAAAAAATACCTGCAAGTTCAAAAATATTGGTGTGATATATTGAGTCAACGTAGAAGAAACGATCAGGCGATTGGAGAACATCGAAAGGATATATGCCGCCATACTACACTTGAACACCAGTCTGTAGCAAAGAGATTGGAGTTTATCATTTAAATGGACACCCGTATTCACAAACATTACTATGAGGTCTCGCAGTGCGCGTGGACGCACAGGATCCCAAAAATCTATCATAGCATAGACGATACTTGAAAGGCGGAGTGACACACATAAACCAATCAAAGAGGTCTATTCAACGCTGTGCGTCCGAACTCCGAATTCGCATAACGTTGCTGCTTCACTTATGCAAGCATCGTTTGTGAATACTTTATACTTACTACCATTTTATAGTTAAGAAATTTATCATTAGCTCGTACCTTTTACCAGAAAACTGACAAGCGTCTCCGGAAGTCAAGAAACACAGAGCTATGCGGCGATCAAAACCCGAATTGTTCCATAGCAACACAAGCATTGAGGCCAGCATAAATAAAGCTACACCTTCCTGAAATACAAATTGGATTAAAAAGGTTATTCGACACCACCAATTAATTGACGTTTAAAACTGTCAAAACAGACACTGGTACGAACGGGGTGAACGCGAGATGTGCGGGTGAGTGCGAGGGAGAGTCGCATTCCAAAGAGGTGCGCAGTAAACTCGACAGAGTTGATGCCTCTTGGATCGCAACGCGCTTTAAGATAGTTTCGCTGCAGGGATGTGCTACGTTCTTCTTCTTATTCGTTACGCTCTTGACAGAGCGGTCGTGGTCACGTTGAGGCGTTGTTCACATCGGTTGTAGAGGTGGATACAACTCTCCGCACGATCTCCCGCCATCTCTGTCTATTGGCACACTGTCTAGTGCAGTCACATACGCCGTCTCCCACTGCCGATTTCACTTGGTCGGTCCAGCGCATTGGTGACCTGCCACGCGATCGGGTTCCTTCGACTTTTCCTTAGACGACCAGTCGTTCTATGGAGTTGTCATCCCGCCTTGAGACATGTCCTTCGTTAGTAAGTAAGTATAAGTGCTTCGTTACTCACATTGAAATAGCATTTGGCCGTATCCATGGTAGACATCACTCCGCACATGGGCAGTATGAAGATGGGGATCATAGCGGTGCACGGCACGGCTATCGGCTGTATCAAGAAGAACCAGAACATCCACATCCACATGCATTGCACCGTGATATTGTGCTGGAAAAATCAAAGAACCTTTATACTACTTAAAAAAATAAGGGCGACTAATTTTTTTTAAGCTAAGATAAGGTAATCATTTATTGTCTTTTCTGTGTAAGTAATAATGAGTAAATTTTAAGAATAAATTAAGGTTGGTCATCAATATTGTCACGGTAATAATATCATACAGTATTGTAACTTCATATAAACAGACGAAACGAGAACTTTCTTTCGAAATTCAAATCTCGGTATGCGCTCGGTATGCAAAAGTCGGGGGTGTCGCGAATGTGCCGAATGGACGTCGGTGGCCAAGTGTTAAAAATGACAAAACTAATTGAATTTGACTGACCGTCATTTACGGTCAAATTGGTCAAAAACTAGTCAAATTTACATTTTCGGTCAGTTTGATTTGAAAAGAAAATTATATTGTATCAAACCAGCTTTTGCCCACGACTTCACCCGCTCGAAATTAAAGTAACAGATCATTATGATTATTAAAGTTTCGAAATTATTTAAGTAGTCTTTATTTACTAAATTAAATCTACTAATCACAAAACGACACACATTTTTAACCTATTCCATTCATAAAGTATTTTGTTTGTCTAACTAAATAAAAAAATACAATCACAAAACTAGATAGAAATTCTAAGTAGGCAGATGTAATTAAACTGGGTACTGTAGGTGGGCAGCCCTACCGCATGTTGTCATACTGTGACGTACCGCGCGACTGTTGACATTTATTTCAAAAATATGGCCGAGTTGGAATACTGTATAGATAGTATTACCGTGATATTGTGATCTGTAGCACTAAAGTATTAACTCTTTTCTAATAGACGTGGGATCAAAAGGACCATAAGCATGTATTTTTATGTGATGCTAACATCTAATAAAATCAAAGACAAAAACTTACCACATCCTTCTTTGGTTGCCATGACAGCACTGCAATTGGCACTATTACACCTAGTATTCCTCTAAAGTTGTTCACGACGATATTACGGAGCCTGGGAACTGGTCCCTTGATCGCCTCACGTTGGTCGCGACCCAAGCTGTAGTGTATTGCATCATTTAATTAAAATAGGACTCAGTGTGCACTCATTAACATCAACTTAAGTAAGCGCCACTGTCCACGGTAGCGCGGAGCGTACTAAAGTTCAATCGAGTTAACTGTGCAACTCGCCGGAATGCGTCAAGTGACAAATCGCTGAGTTGCGATCCTTCGCGCGTGAGCGCGTTTGATATAAACTCACACTCAGCCCTCAGAGTGTTGATGTGACGTCACAGCTGCCCGGTGCGCAGTTAACTCTACGCGTATCGGTCATTGTACGCTTGGTGTATGCGTTTAGAACTTACAAAAAAAAAACACAATTTTGTTTGTGGACAGTAGCTTAGAGAAATATTAACGGCATTCTTGCTCTATGTTACTTAACTACTTTACGATTTACGCAGTCTTAGAAATGATGATTCAAAAAATGTTGGACATTATTAAATGACCTGACCTATTCTCACAGGAGAAATCGAGCGCTGCTAGATTCAATCTAATATTTTTGCTGTCAGCTAAACTGTACCTACAGTTTTCATAAGTTAAAAATAGGTATAGTAAGTGCTATGGTGGTAAATACGGTGCAAATGTTTTGTAGAGAACGTGAAAATTACTCTGATCCATGGACCTATAANGTAAGTTATATTTATTTTCCGGTGACATATATACATTTAAAACTTTAATAAGTAACTGACTTACTAAATATTTTTATTTTTTAAACCTTACGGCACCCTCATAAGGCAGTGTTCTTTTTATCAAAAGGCCATCATTTTGTGTCATTATCTAAATAAAGATCTTCGTTTGTTTTTGTCATTAATAGCTCCTTTCTTACCTCTAACGTTTAATCCAAGACTTCACCTACCATAATACTGTTCAAAATATTTTTCAGTTAAAATGCATAGTCAAATAGTGACCTGTGCCTTTTCATGGCAAGAGTGAATAGGCATGTTTATTTCACTCTAGATTAATATCAAATGAGATTCGGGTCAAATACCTGTCTTTACTTCAAATAAGAAAATATTTCAATGCACCTATTATGTGGATATCTTTAATGATGCAGACTGCATTCAAGTATGGATTAACGCCAGTGGGTAGACGGCTTTTTATACGGAAATCATTACGCCTTAGATTCATATTCCAGTTCGAATCGAGCCTGAGATTCTTTTAGTTTGTTGCGTTTTTTAAACTGAATGTTGGCCTCTGTTAGGAAGAGAGACGCGGTCACGATACAGGCTATTGCTCCCACAACACCAAGTCCGAATGACCACCCTGAAATGATAAAAACACATTTAATTAGTAGATGAAGTCGACAATGTACAGAACTTTATACAATGCGATAGAAAGTTTGCATATTGTTACCCCTGGGCTGGGCCACACACATCCCAGTATTCCCAAAAACATTCGGGCGAAGTCTTGCGACTATGCAAAAAAAGCACCGAAGTATGCGCGAACGCCTGGCTACACACATCACGATAACGCAAATCTTCGGGTTATTACGATGTGTGTAGCCCAGAAGTTAGATGAATAAAATTTGTATACTTATAATATACACAAGGGAATAAATACCAACCTAAGTAATTATTTGGATGATCTGGCATCCACCCATCAGTGTTTCCGAAACATGCGAAGACTATAACAGCTATAACGCCACAGACACCTAGAAACATACATTATTATTAGTCATATTGGTCATAGGTATGGTAATTATTGATGAACAACACAGTATAGTTTAACTCACCCGAGCCCAGCATAATATAGCCAATGCTTTTAATTAGCACAACGAATCTGTTCTGATCGGGAGAGCAGCAAAGGAAGAAAATGAGCACTAAGATCGTTGAAATCAATACTCCGAGGAGGCAGAGCGTGAAAAAGAACTGTGTCGCTATCATAAATCCTGCAAAAAATAATAGTTGGTTTTAAAATTTAGTTTTAAAAGACCTTTGTTACGGACGGACTAACTCGGAAATGTCCGCAAGGTTACCGAGGTAACACAACTGTTGGGTCACAAGAGAACTTAACACTTTAAGTAATTAATAGCAATCTTATCAATGTAATTAATCTACCCTAAACTGCATGTTACTAACTTAAACTTACGACTGATACTCAAAATGCCCTTCGAGTTATGTTTTTCGAGTCTGGTTAAATTTTTATAAGCTGTATTGTATGATGTTGTATAATATTATTAAAATTGACCAAATACAACATACATTCACAAGTTACACGATCATAGTACTTATGAAATGTTTATTACTGCGTGAGTGCATCACATTTTATTACGCGATATGCAGCGCAAGTTTCAGCGTACGGCCTTCACGACATTAAAATTTGTCTTTTTACACTTTCGCGGTCACTTGTGTTAGTACGTTTCCGATAATCACGCGTTTTATAAATTACCTGGAAGTAAATAGCCTCGAATCCTGTCGTAACCAGTGGTGAACGGGTCGTAAACCCAACGGCATCCCACGAAGAACCGTCTCTGGTACTGGTCTAATGGGTCCGGCAGAGATCTAAAGCAATGGCTCCATAACCCCAATCTAAAAAATATATTTATGTGTATTGTTGCGCTAAATCTATTTAGGTATAATAAACCTAGTAAGAAACATTTTGAAAGTACAAAACTTATAGTGTAGAGCTCACTAGTTCACTCGTATACTGGCATACAAATAAGTACCTACCTTATAAATAAACATGAAGAACTATGTTACATATTAGTACCAAACTGTAACTGTTATCTTTCGGATGTACCTACAACTACATTGTTAATATTATCTTTGAGAAAGTGGATCAGTAGGCATCAATGTAAAGGATGCCATACAAATATTATCGGAAAATCCAAAGTAAAAATCGTTTTAAGAATTCGAGTATGCAATCAAACACAAAAAAGCAATATTTTTAAGTCCAATCCGAAAAACGTGAAGCAACACTTAAAAACGCCATTAACTAATTGATTTTATTTACTGCTCAGCTCTTTCAACCTTTTATTTTTAATGGGGGTTCCATAACATAGGAAACAGCCGAGTAATTGACCAAAATGCGATTTGGTAATGAGGTGGAATTGTGGAAGGAGAAACAACAAAATAATTCCTTGCCAGAAATAACTCTCATAATTAAGGGCCAAACTCCCACGCTATTTTTAGCATCAGTTGGCGGTGAAACAAATTTAACCACATTTAGGAAAGAGGGGCAGCAAATGAACCCTCCTAAACTATATTAGGGATGTTCAGTGGTATTTCATGCTACTGCAGAATTTTTCTTCGTAGTCGATTTTCATCGATCAAATATTTAAGACGTGCGATTTTGATACTGCGACGAGCGGCACCAATTTGCGGCGACATAATCACACAAATGCCGTTTAGTTTCGCTAAAAGCTGACTAAAAGGTAAGACGCCAGCTCAGTGGCGTAACTATAGGGTGGCAGGAGCAGGGCTGACAAAATGCCACACCACGAGCTTCCGACCCGAGGGGGCCCCGGTCCAAGTCCCTAATCATAATGGTCCAGGGGGATTCCTGAAAAATAGCCCTAGATACGCCAAGCAGAATTTGCCACGGGCCTCGGATGGTATAGTTATGCCACTGCGCCAGCTCCTAAGGAATATTTACCTGTCCAATCTAGCGCCTCTTATTCTTGAGTCGCTGACCAGCCAGCTGGGCGTGCCGAACGCCAATGTCACTGTGACAAGGGCGATGACGAACACACCAATGCCACAGTTGCCTGCTAAGCTTCTATTCTTCATTGTGTCTGGAAATGAATAGCGGTGGTTATAACAATACGAGTATTCCTACCGTTAAGCAAAGCCGCTTTGGTCTTTTAACAACAACCAATCTCATATTTTCCATTTTCCCGCTAAAAATTGTTATAATATATGCAAAAACCATGGACCTATAAAAAAAGGCGGACGGAACTCGGGCTACAACAAAACTGTGACGCAAAATTTTGGCGTTTGTCTATTGTGTGAGTGAATTTAGGGATGCCATGTTAGCCAAAACATTTTACTCATTTATTTTAAGAAAATCATAGATCGGCAGATGTTACTTGGAAATGTAGACAGAATTATTCCGTGCCATTTTAAAAGGATGAAAGGTGTATGCGTTGAGGTAGGCGCGAAATTTTCAATGTTCAAATTTTCTTACATTGTTTGCAAGTCAGTGTGTCAGGGTATGTACATAATGTGGATAGAGATGGGTTTCCACCCGGGTAAAAACCCAATAAAAACCCGTTTCATTCCACCCGTGGGTGTTTACACCGGGTGAAAACAAATAATTTTATAATTATTTCAATTGGTGTCTTTCCTTTATTTTTATTGAATTTTTCTCATTTAACACTAATATGCATTTATATCGTGGCCAAATCGTAAAATTGATCACGTTATGATAATGTGACCAATTATTTTATAAAATGGTGTTATTTCAAGAATCGTTGAACCGATTTAGAAGAAATTTAGTAGGAACCATGAAGCTACAGATAAAAATGGAGGCCACACTCCGAATACCTACTTGAAGCACAAACTATGTATCACTATCTCGCTCTCTGTGGGCAGACTCGCTCTTTCTAAATAAACAAAAAATATAAAATTGCTCAAATTCAATGAAACTCAATGTAAAATCTTTATTTCTTGACATAGGTATCATTAAAAATGATAAGTGTAATTACTGGTAAAACGTTTTAGGAAGAAATTACTGTAAAAAATGTGAAAAATGTTTACAATGATCCAATGTCGGAAATCACGAAATAAACACTTACGCGTGGAATCTTATGTCACTTCCAGGAAAAAGTCCTAAAATCATTATTAATTTCCCATATTTCGGGTAATTTTCCCACGTAAATAACTGAGAACACTGGTCTTTGACGTATTATTTTTTCGAGTGAATGACGTTTGATTTCAATTAATTTCAATATTTTAATGTCGGGAAATAAGTGATTGGATTATTATTTTGCCTGTGAAATGTGATTCCTTAATTTTTGTTTGTTCGAACAGAACGGTTTTTACACAATTTCATCACACAAGACATGTCGTATTTGTGTTGTTTTTTCGCTGCTTAAATGTGTCAACTGTGTGAAGTTTGCACTCGAAGTGGTGTAACAGGGTGTGAATGTGTGCGTGCCGGCCTGTACGTACAGGCAAGCTGGTGTATCCTAATGTCACAGTATTTTGTTGATGAGAATCCGTCCGACTTTTTTTATAGGTCCATGGCAAAAACCTATGGCAAAAACAAATCTTTTAAGTTAGAATACCGGACATTAGTCACTTGTTCAGTATTTACTAAATGTTGGTGGAGTTCTGTTTAGTAAGCATTAATTAACGTTAGATCATCTAATGGGAAGTTAATGAAATCTTGCGCTGATGAGTCACCTAAAGCTCCGGTTAAGTTTAGTCTCCAGTTAGATTTTAAGAATGTATTCAGTAGCCAAATAACATAACAATGCTTCAGAATTCAGACATTAATTCCTATAACAAACTACATAAATAAGTTTTGAGTAGCGTGTTAATTCACGCCTATCTTTCTCTAATGGTTATTTATTATTTTGATTTCATCTAAAAAATAAGAGAACACGTGGAATTCAAGAAATAGGAGACGACGAAATCTCTAAACAAGACATTTGTTGTAGCCTCAGATCATAGATAAGTAGGCTTTAGCCAATGTGGATCATAAAATCGAAGAGCAAAATATGAAAGTAATAATAAATAATAAATCTTTGGACAATTTCACACAGCGCCAGCTAGCCCCAAAGTAAGCAACTTAATGCTTGTGTTATGGGTGCTAGCTTAACGGATATACACTACTTATATACTTTTTTTTTTTTTTAAATACATAAATATTATACATAGTCACACCCAGACCCNTTAAATACATAAATATTATACATAGTCACACCCAGACCCGTCACAGAAATTAAAATTCATCATTTCAATTTCTGCCCGGCCGGGAATCGAACCCGGGACCTCTCGGCATAGTAGTCCGTTCTGAACCACTACACCAAACGGCCGACAAGTTTACAATTTAGATTTAATTTAGGATTGAAATTAAATCTAAATCAATATTACAACTAAGCTTATTATTAAAACCGGTAAAGCATAGCAAAGTAGGTCAAGGGTAAGTGTACCTAGTCTATTAAATGACGTTACCGTAACAATTGATTCATCGTGTGATCCATGATGCGTGAGCTTGGTTCGTGAGACGAAGTAAAAAAAATGAAGATGTAGATCGAAATTATAGTTCATTGAGAAGTCCTGGGTTCGAAGTGGTTCGAATCTCACTTTGGTTAGGCCATTGAGTTTACTTTTAAGTAGGTATTCGAAGGCATAAGCCGTGACCGTCCGCTGACTTGAGCTCATAAACGTGACATTAGAACTTACAATTGTTACAACAACACGTACGAATCGTCGTGATTCGTGTGTTCATCGTGAAAGAAGATATAGAAATAGAATTAAAAATAATAAAAAAGGCATTCCAAAAATTTATTCGGCTTGAAATATGCCACCGCAGATTTGTTGACCCATTGCACGGGTTTTATTAGTACCTTCATTCATACAGTTACAATTCGGATTGCTCTAATTGACCATAACAAAGCCATAAAAGGTAGTGCCATTTTTTAACCAACCAAGGTTGTGCGTTTGAGATGAATAACCAACAGTGTTTCGCAATCTACAGGCATGAGTGGAGTGTTAAGTTAAACACATACATAACATTCACCCAGAAGCACAATGCTAAAAAGTTCACACGGGTTGTTCTCTGTGGGAACGTAGGAAACGAGACGAAATTCATTGTTGTTTTATCCTTCGAAACCCATCACTTCCATTACGTAGTTATAACTTTTTGTTTGGCTAAGTTTAACTTTGAAAAGGATCTACTACTTAGATCAGTATCGCGTATTTAGAGGCAGTCATTATTAGTCACTCGTAAAGACGACAATTCATCGAGGTCAGTGCATTAAGTGTATGCGGTCTACTCAATTGTTATTATTCTTACGGGAATTACTTCACCATTTGCTTGTTAAAAGACACGTCTGTCACGAGCTGGACGAATAATGTTGTTGTGTTTTTCTTGTACACTAGTAGGTAGGTACTTATTCCAACTAATGTCCGTACTCCGTCCATACCACAGAAAGAAGCTCAAAACTTTATCAATCTCAAAATAGAAGGCCTTTCATTGGTTGAATTCCAATATTTGGACTAAAGGACTAAGTAACTAGACTTGAAACTACTTTTGAGCCTTACCTATATCCTATTACTGAAGCGTGTCGTGTACGTATACGGCATAGAAAAAACAAATATTTACTCTGGTACGGGTCTACGAATCGATCAGGCAGATATTCCGCAAGTTCGCAACTAGGGCTTTTTGAACATTTTTGAGATCTTTTTTTAATTTTTTTTATGCAGGACAAGGCAGGTATTTGGCCGCACGCAATCTTTGGATCTACTGAACCAATTTTGAAAATTCTTTTACCAATTAGATGGAAAGCTACATTATTTTTGAGTGTCATAGGCTATAAAATATATTAAACCGAAATACGAACTTTCTGTGACAGAACGAAATTCTCGCGGGCGAAGACTCGGGTAAAAGGTATCCTACTATCCTACTAATATTATAAATGCGAAAGTTTGTATAGATGTCTGGAGGTGAACATGTTTGTTACTCTTTCACGCAAAAACTACTGAATGGATTTTGATGAAGCTTTACAGTATTATTGTTTATAACCCAGAATAACATATTATTATAGGCTATAATTTATGAAGATCAGTGACAAACTAAATTTCTAGCGAGTGAAGCCGCCGGCAAAAGCTAGTTCTTAATAAAATTAATCCTATGTCGGCTATAGTTATTAAAAAAAAATCTAGCGTTAAAAGAGTCGCCTCTCGATCTAAATATTTTTAAAATAACTTGAAAAAGTCGAACTGCCTATGTCGGCTAGTGGACTAAGATCGATTCTGAATTGGGACAAGCAAAAAAAACATTCTTAACGGTTCCCAGAGTAATTAGGACATTGCATATTTGTATGCTGGTCTTTTGAAATTGAAATCGAAAACGACGATACCATATCGCTGTCGCTCATATCAGCATCTCGTTACGAGGGAGAAGCAACTATAGATCGGAAATACGGAGGGAAAAGGGTGGAACATGCAACTACCAAAAATACTATGCAAGAAACTCAAAAAGCAAGCAAAGCAAAAGCAATAACAAATTACTAATAATCTTTTAAAAATAAATTAATAGTAGATACCTAGGTAGGTAATAGTTTAAAAATGTGCACATGGGTAACAACATCATAGGTTCTTGCACTTTATCACTGCAAAATTTAAATTAAATATAAAATCCTCTGGAAAAGTTGTAAGACTTAGTTCTGGATTTAAAAAATCTTTTAAGATTTTTTATAGAGCAAAAGCAGATATCGATAGAGGTCCCAGGTTCGATTCCCAGCTGGGCAGAAATTGAAATGGTGAATTTTAATTTCTGTGACAGGTATAGGTGTTACTATGTATAATAATATATATATGTATTTAAAAAGTATGTAGTATATCCGTTAAACTAGCACCCATAACACAAGCATATTAATTGCTTACTTTGGGGCTAGATAGCGCTAGGTGAAATTGTCTAAAGATATTAATATTTATTTAATCAAGGCCCTACCACATCAGTGTACCTACATACTCCGCAACACAAGCCCATCTTGCAGCAGATTGTTTAAAAGTTTCACATTAAATAAAAAATATATCTAAATAAAAAATTTGGATATTCCTATTTAATATCCATAGTATCCAAATTTTTTATAAAAATGTACCTAAGGTACCTTCAGTAGCGGCGTAAGGGGGGGGCGGTGGGGGCGGTCCGCCCCGGGTGCCAAGCATCAGGGGGTGACACAAATCGCGCAGATTAGTACTCACTGGCACATCTGCATGGCAAATCTGCGGTCTTTGCATTGATACAGGGGGGTGGGGGGTGCGATTGTCTTTCAATCTTCGAATCGGTAGGTAACCCCAAAATCCTGGGGGGTGCCATAGGACTTGTGACGGGGGGGGGGGGGGTTGATCGCCCCGGGTGCCAACCCATGCTACGCCGCCACTGGGTACCTTGTAGCTACACACTTTTAGTTACACCAAAAAAAAGTTTTAATCCAATTTAAAATATTTATCTATTAGTAACTTTAACATTTAATTTTGGGGTTTATTTCATATTTTTATAAAAGGGCCTACTTTACTACCTATTTAGCATTGTTAATCTCCCACACTGGTCAAAGAGAAACTGGGCATAAAAACAATACTCTTGAGCATATCCTAAACAATTACTTCTTCTTTTAATCTGGTAACTTTTAAAAGTTTTAATAGGTAGTTGAATATTTTTTTAGTTGATTAAATTATAATATTAAACTACTGTTCATGTCTCAGCTCCTTACATAGCCATGGAATGGTACATAAACACCAACAATAAAATCTTTAAATTGAATTTTTGAGTGGCACTAAATCACTGATATCAAATTAAATTATTTAATAAATTACCACAAACTATTGTAGAACTACATTCATAATGAAAAAGGCCTACTATAAAGTTGATGATTATTTAAAAGATAAAAATGTTTGGGATGTGTAACTGCATAGCTCGCATTTATAACTATGTATTTTTAAAGCCTGTAAACCTTTGAAAAAGAGGCTGACAATAGTGTCTGAGTTTCTTGCGCTGCTTCTTCTCAGCACTGGCCCATTTATTGTCCTGAAGCAGTGGTAGGGTTAATACTGGGACATGTAAAAGTGCTTTTTTAAAGCCTACTTACAGAAATAAATGAGTTTTATGAGTTTTTTAAAAAGCACAATTATTTATGATCTAAAAACTTTCTGAATGCTAAATCTAATAAGTTGAAATTCTGTAACTTTGTTTAGCTATTTCAAATCTACCAAATGAAAAATAACCATATAAAAAATGTATACCAAACCTACTGCATATAATTGTAGACTTATAATGACTACAAAAACAAAATCAAATAAATATTTTAAATCAAAAACTCTTCTGTTGAACTGACCACAAACACATCGACTAAAATACTCATGTTCACTTACCAGAAAAACAATAATGCAATTATTACACAGTGAATTTAACAAAAAATAACACTTTTGGCTCAGTATTACTTCAAATATTCAGAATTAAGTTAAAATTAATAGAAACAAAACAATACGATCACTCGTCTTGCCACTCGAATCGTGTTCTTTCGTTTTCGTTTCGTTTGATGTTTGACAACTTGACAAGCGAGCGGGATGGGCGTTGGTTGGCCGACTGACAAGTCATGCATGATGCATGCATGCGTTGAAACTTGAAGGACCGTTTGTAACCATCGAGATTGTCAATAGAGTAGCCTTATGGCAAATTTCCAGAAAGCGATTATCATTTGAGGGATGATGATGTATTAATAAATAAATAATAGACAGAGATGTCTAACAATTGCATAGGAGTAGGAGGAAGAGAACGGAGATGTTAAATATAATTTATTTTACTCCCAGCCGGATAATGGTTTTATGGTCATGGCCACAAGTTTTTGGCCGGTAAAGGATTGGCTTGGACTAGTTTTTGTTAGAAAATTTTACGTAATCTACGGTTTGAAATTGGACAGCCACTGCCAGTAATTTGTTGATTACAAATTACAAATACACTCACGATCGAGCATCGAACCCAGACCTCTTGACTATTCACGTATTCCACCAGTACATAGTCATAGTAGCAGTACCGCATGTTGATATTTAAGATTTCTCTGAATTTCTAGTCTATTTCATAGGAGAAATTCAAATATATTTTAAGTGAAGGTCAATAAGCTACAAAATTATGTGTAGGTACTTACTAAATTTTATTTCATTTTTGTTACAGTATTCTTCGAACCAACAGACAGAAGAAAAGCAGTAAAGGCACTGAAGAACAATCACCATTTAACTTTCATGTCACCAAATCTGGCAGAGTTAAAAGCAATGGCTACATTTTTGCAACCAGATTTGGAATCATCTTCAAATAGTGATATAAACGAAATATTGAGCTTATCAGCTATTGTGTCACATTATGTTGAATTCATAATTGTAACTTTAGGTCCTAAGGGTGTAGTTACAGTACGAAATTCAATGAATCAGTTGGACGCACGTTTTTATCCAGGTGAAACCATAGATGCAATACAAAATGTGTCAGGTGCTGGCGATTGCTTTGCCAGTGGCTTTCTAAATGGAATTCTCTTAGGACAAAAACAATCATCATGTATTTCTATGGGTATTCATTCTGCAAAATGTGCTTTACTGTCTAATTACACTGTACCTCACAACCTCAGAATTAACAAATACTATGATGAGGCAAAATACATACAGTTACCTAGACATAAAATCTAAAAAATAAAAAACATACAAAAATACATAAAAAAGTTGTCGTTATTAAAATTAACATAAAAATACATTGGATATAAAATACTCCAAGAATACTTGTAAGTCTTCACTTACAAAACTACAAAATAAAAAAATATGCTTAAATACTACATACTAAGGCACATTATATTTACTTTTCACAAAAGGACGGAAAGATTTTCTTAACAGCTAGAAATTATTGAGATTACAGAAGTCATTAAGTAGTTTATCAAACCTTAAAAGAAATACACAGTTAAATTCTCAGTCAAGTTATCAGATGTCTGTGTGTCCTCCTGAATATGCCATTTTTCTCTCATGCATGGTATAAGAGGATGGTTCACGACTTTGCATTTCATGCAATTTCTTATACTTCTGAACTCTTGCTTCGACTAAAAACAAAATGCCAGATGGGAAGAGAAAAATGACACCAATTACACCAAGAGCATAAGCCCAACTAAGGTCATTGTGTTCCCAGTTAGGCATCCAATCACGGCCATCCCCTCTTGCTCCAAATGTCACCACGGATATGATTCCAGAAAACCCTGTAAGAAAATATATTTGTTATGTTATTAAATAAGTTTTACTTTACTCTTGGGTTATTTTTTTGTATTTAAAAATAATTATTTGCAGCTTTAACACACCTCCTATGACCAGAATAGTTCCCAGGGTTACTAGAAGTGTTACATAGTTTTCATCATCCTTTTCTTTCTTCATGTATATAAAAGACAAAAACATTGAAACAAGTACACAACACATAGTTATGGTGAAGAAAAACTGAGTAGCTATAAAGAATCCTGGCAGTAAAATATCATGTATGATGTAGTATTCTTCTTCAAATATCCACCAACAGCCAGTGAACACAGTATCGTACCAGTGATGAACTTCTTCGAACCCATTGAAACAGACCTCCCATAAACCTACAAAAAAAAATTTAGTTATTACTTACCATTCTAGTTGATCTAAAAAAATATTTGTACAAGATCAAGAAAACATTATCTAAGTCACAATATTAATCAAATAACGGAAAAAACATACCTATTTTTATAAACTTAGGATTTTTTAGTTTGCCATCAGTGACTAACCAGTACGGACTTACGAAAGCAATTACTATGAAAATAGAGGCAAATACGAAAAAGCTTAGAGCAAATAAACCCGTCTTCGATTTGTTAAACATTTCTTTTAGTTATTTTACACTTTACAAATGAAATTTTTGTGTTTTCAAGTAAAACAAAAATGACAGTCCGGCTAGCTATCTGTTCACTGACATTTGACGTTTCCATCCACGGCACGCCCCAAAAGGCACGCCCAACAAAGCTACAACTCCACAGAGTAGAAAGACGAACTCATAGTAAATGAGAGACAGGAACATGTATGTCTGTGCGCGAGAGCCATACAGAAAAAAAAAACTTTCACTGTCAGTTTGTGTGCTGTGTTGTGTCTGACATAATCATAGAGAAAAGTAATACATGACATAATGCAATTGAAAAAGTTGTCAACAATCACGAGTTTATTTTATAAAAAAACATTTACATCATTATTTTTGATGTTATGACGACTTATATGAGTATAAAACAATCGTATACAGTTTTGTTTTTAACCGAAAATGATATCAATGTGTTATACTATGTTTATGCGTGCGGTATTCAGGTCCAAGATACCCCGAATAATCAGGTTACATTATTCAACCGAAAATTTAACAAGCAAAAAATTAAGCGATTTGTTTAATATAAGTGAAAACAGTGCGCAATTCATTTGCTTAAAACACCCAGTAATAAATAAATTGGACAATGAAAGATTGGGCAGTTTATTAACTACCATGGATGAGTTAGGATTCCATAAAAAGCTGTTGATTGAGGAGCCCCTGCTCTTCAGTATTTTACCAATAACTTTAAAATATCGATATAAAGTTTTGGAAGAATGTGGAATAGAAAAAGTAAACGTGGATCACATATTGTCTTACTTACCAATAATGAAAAAGAAAACTATTGGCGATTTAAAGGCTAGTGGCATGTTACTTGACTTTGTTAAGGTGGAAAATAGACTGGCAAGCTACATGACTCAGTGGCCAACTTCTTTGACGACATTAATATATGGTGATATTGACAAGAATACACTATATTCACTACGTCTCAAAATTATTCAGAGATATCTTGAACTAGTTCTGGATTTAAGCAAGGAAGAATTTTACAGAGGTATAAAAACATACCCAACTATTAAACATCGTCCATTACAAACTATCAATGAAACCTTAAACATTTTACAATCAGAAATAATGATTCCAAATCATAAGATCAAAACTAATCTTTATTTAGTACATGCAGATCCAGACAATTTAAGGAAAATTGTTCACAAATTCAGAACAATTGGAGGTATTGATGTTAAAGAAGTTATTCGACTGCACCCCAAGTTAGCAACCAAAAGTTATTCTACCTTGAGTGAAATAAGAAAAATATTGAATGAATATGGTATCAGCAATGAGGCACAAATGAGGTGCTTTGATATTTACACCTTAGGACCAGATACAGTCAGAGAAAGGCTAGAAAAGGCTAAGAAAATACCAGAATTTAAAACATTTTTCAATCACCCACGTTTTCTAAAAATGATTCACTACAAAAATACAGCATTAAAAAGATTAACTAATTTATATGGAAATAATAAAAAATGTTTGAGTCTGAACATTTTGTCTGGAAGCTCAGCCCACTTTGAGTCTTTTGAAAAAGCACCTGGTGACAGACTTGGAAAAGGAAAAGATCTTGTATTCTGTATATCACAATGTCTGAAAGGAAAATATAGTTCAAATGAAATACGAAAATCATTGAAGAGACATCCATTCTGGATCAATATCCCTTTGGTTCAAGTTAATACCGTCTATGAAAAGTTATCAAAAAGCTTCAGTTCAAGAGACATTTATGAAAACTGTCCAATATTGTTATATCCCTGGAATAAAATAAGAGAGGCATTAAATTTATACAACAATAAAAATTCACAACAAAAATTGCTTATTCCTGAATGTGTTGACTTGACGAAGTTAAGCAAGTCTCAAAAATTAAGTCTAGTTTTGTATCTACTTGAGAAGAATCACTACTTCACGGGGAATGGCGTTTGGTCAGAAGAAAAGAAAGCTTTAATCGATCCGTCAGATGCTAAAAGTTATTTGATTGAAATGAATAATAAAAACAATGTTGAAAAGTTATAAATAATCGTCCTTATTATTTTCCTCTGTGTTTATATCTTAAACTTTATTATGAAATTGACTGAAGAATGAACCAATTTATTGCTCTAAGGTTAAGTTTTAAAATAAATAAACGTAGGTACAATTTAATTATTCTCAAATTGTTGTTTCGTAATAACTTTTTTTTTTTTTTCTTCTTTCTGGCTCTCGCGGATTGCGTTTAGCCACGACAGGGTTCTTGATCTTGAGTTTTGCGTTTGCGTATGTTTTGCGTTTGGTTTTGCGGACATTGCGTTTGGACAGGGTGGGATTAGGTTAAAAGGTAGGGAAACGAATTATTAAAAATTACGGAAGGAAACGGAACAAAAGGATTATTTGATAGGATCATTGTTTATAGCGGATAAGGATAACAAAAGCAAGTATTTACATATTAAAAAATAAAATATATACACTATTTACAACTTAATATTATTATGAGTAATATATGCAGCTAGAATATTATAGATATTACAATCATTAGAATTTAAGAGGCAAGTGATAGAGGTAGGGAAAGGAACATGGATGGATAAAAGTGAGTTAATAAAAGAGGAACGGTCATAAAGGCAACAATTAAAAAATATGTGGTTCATATCTCCCACATCAGACCCACAGGAACACATATCACTGTCTATAACATGAATTTTGGNATCCGTCCGACTTTTTTTATAGGTCCATGCTCTGATCCTAATAACTAAAGTTGTACAGAACAAGTGCGACATCTTCAACAAACTGGAGGATGTAGGATTATTTATGACCGCGTAGCATTTACGTAAAAAAGTAGAACTATTTAGTATCCCGAAGGTACATGATATAAATACAGGCAATACTTACAGTTTTGACCACCATCTGAAAGTACAGATAAAATAATTTTGAATGCAAATTAAAAACAACAATGAACAAAATTAAAACGACGTGGCGAGTTGTCAGTTTTAAAACATTGTTTTAGATGAAAAACATTGAATACAGTATCACAATTTTATTTTTAAATCATCATAAATATTACACAAATACTTACTTTCCCATGTTGTAGTTGTAGTATTCTTATAAATTCTTATAATTATACTATCACTAAAAGGGACACATTACCCGCGAACTTATCAGAACGAAAATTATTTTCAACAGAATCGAAATGTCAGGTCAAAATTGGTTATCAATTTCAAATTAGGAACTAGAATAGAATTATGTTTTTTTTAATTATGTAGTGCAGAGGTTTTTCTATGATATTGCAATAACGAGGTTTCATCAGATTTTATTTATCGTAGTTATAACAGCTAGATTGCACCATCTTACTTTAACTTTGACAAACGTCAAAAGTCTGTTAAACTCCATACAAAATGCACCGGTTATCATTACAGTCACGGTTAAAGTAAGGTGGTGCAACTCAGCCTAATTTAGTTAACCAATGCATTGGTATTGTGTTCTGTTAATAAATAAAAATAAACAATTTAGACAAATGGCAGTGTTTATTTAAGGGAATGTAACAATTAAAAAATTCATAACACAAATTCACGTAATGTCCTGTACGTAAATTCGAAAGACACTTCTTAACCGTTACCTACCTACGTACAATAATTATTTATTCGTCATTACATGTCTAGGTGTGAATAGTACGTGAAACAGCATGATCACTTTTATCACTTGTCGATATGCTTTATAAACGTTTGGGTAGACCCTTGGTCGTGGATCAGACGGGCGTGGTACGGCGGTAGGGGTCGGTGCCCACGGCACGGTCGTGACGTGGAGGATTCTGCTGCTCATCATTCTTTGGAGGTGCCCGAACACCTGCTCCAAATGTCACCAGCTCTTCTTCTCTAGACGGTGGTGGTTCTACAGCTGACGTATCCAGGAACCGTCCGCTGGCCACTGATGCCTGTGACTGGAAAATTGAAGCGCTCCGTAATCCGCTTAGCGTATTCGCGCTTTGAGGTACTTCTTTGAACTCCTCAAAATAGTTGTCGCAGGCGGTTGGCCTCGGCGCCGCAGGAAAACCGTATAGCGTCGAAGACGACAAGTCTTTCAAAGATGCTGAACTTAAATTAATTCTCCTGTTTTTGTGTATTGAGCAGTGTGGCATATCGTCGCCGTCGAAGACAAACCGCCTTCTCTCGCGGGGCGTAGCAGCCGATGAGCCGGTGGGTGGATACGTGTCCCTCTTCATCATTCGTCTTTCTAATAAGGTGGAGTCTTGTTCTCTGTACTCAGTGAAAGCGTATTCACGGTCCCAAGCTCGACAGTCGGCTTTGGCTTTTTCAGAAAGCTCAGTTATCCAGTCTTTTTGGTACCACTGAAGAAAGAGGAAGATAGCAGATGTGCCTGCCAACTCAGCCGCTATGAAGCCGCCAATGTATAGTCCAAAGGAATATCCGTAACTGTAAGACATCCGAGGCATATCGTAGACGGTCATGTAGCGCAGCTTGTGGCCCAGTTGAGACTTAAATACAGATATGTACATGACAATTCCAGTCAGCATTATGAGACCTGGAAGTAAGGAAAAAGAACATGTTAATTTTAGGTCAGTGTAAATTTTCATCATAATTCGTTCAGTAGTTTTTGTGCAAATGAGTAACAAATATTCGACCTTTCACATACTTTCATACGACTTTTTTTGTATCCTTAATGGCTGTATCGTGCGCTCTTGTTAAACTTTGAGCCCATTCTTAACACAAGCATTTAACTTAGCACGAGGAACTAACGGGGCTATACGTGCAAAATCGCCAGCACGCGTTGGTGTGGTTGAAGCTTAATTTGTGCAATTATAATACATAATAATATTAGTAGGACCCTTACCAGATATAATAAAGAGTACTCCAGCGATGAAGGTGCACAGTCTCCGGCCCTTGACGCAGTGGCCCAGCACGCAACACAGCGCGCCCACTGCCTGAGTGAACACTGCCAGAAGAAGAGGCGCGGCTGACCTCGTCACCACATCTGGAATTCATGGAATTTGCAGTTTTTATCAAGAGCAGCAAAATGTATCATTGTTATAATTCAAGGCTTATACTTATGGTTAGCTAGATTTTAAGTATGTGGATCTGCTGATTTATTAAATACTAGCTTTCCGCCCGCGTCTTCGCGCGCGCGTACTACATTATCTACATATTTTACGGAACCCTATTTTTTTCCAAAATAAAATTTAGCCTATGTTACTCGTGGATAATGTAATGTAACGGTTAGCGTTACCGCTGACCTTTATCTTTGATCTAAATTCTAATTTAATTACTATTATCTACCTAAATAAATATACTTAAATAATAAAATATCCAAATCTACGTAAACTACCTAACTAAATAACTTAATTAAATATTTCATATTATTCTACACTAATAAAATAAATAAAATAATAAATCTACAAGCAAACCCGCGCGAAACAAGTTGTTCAATATTTCTTTTGTTCTCTGTCGAGCGGGCGGGCTGTTTTTTATGTATGCGCAAGCGACGCGCCTACGGCCGCGATGCTCCCGCCGCGTCTCCTAGTCCGAGCCAGAGCGTTATTGAGCACGGACGTATCGCTGTCCGTCACCGCCGGACCCGCGATGTACATAATATCTTAAAAACTAAAAATGTAATCGCGTATTGGTGAACCCCGCTACCGGGGTTCACGTTTACCTTCACGCTCACGTTCATCTCCACCTTCATCTTCTTCTACCTACTACACCATGCATGGTCACCACTGCCGAGACTACCACCTGGGTCTTCAACCCGGCAGAGCTGCCTGCCGTGTCGGACGGCCCGTGCGCACACTCTAAGTGGCCCTACACCACAGTGCGTACGGCCCTAACCGTCTGGCGCGTCGGCGACTCTGCGGGATTACCACCAGCGAAGAACCAACCCACATCACCATCAATACTAGCGAGGACAGTGGTTTGAATATACTACCACCGGTGACGAATCTCGTGCGATACGATAGTTTGCTCGTAACCCACACCCTTAAGGTCTCTTGCTACTTTATCCTAAATAAATCACTTGTTAACTTAAATCATCTTTTATTAATCTAAACTTAACTAAAATTCTAATCATGTCACTGCCTCTAAAGCTCATAACCGTGACAGTAGCTTTCGAATGGTGAAAGAATTTTTATAAACGGTCCAGTAGTTTTTGAGCCTATTCATTACAACCAAACAAACAAACAAAGTTTTCCTCTTTATAATATTAGTGTTGACAAAGATTTCTGAACCTTTTGGGAACTGGTGTGTGAATATAAAACACTAGACTTCTGATAAATTTTTCAAGGTTCATGTTTTTGAAGAGTACCTATAGTGATTTTACAGTTCAACAGCTTTTAACAGAAATACCATTATTATAAACGCAAAATACCTACACTCAACATCAAATAAACCGCAAATTCCGCGACGCGAACTTTAAAGATTTTCTTCTGACACAATTATGGTACCCCAACAATATTGGTGTTATTTGAAAGCCCAATAAATATCCTTAAAGAAAAATACATTTAATTTCTAAATAAATGAATAACATATACCATAAATGTGACTAGAAAATAGACCTCACTTTGGGCTCACCTCTGGGATCAATTAGACCAATTTTTATGGTTATAAAACCAAATAAAGATCTCACGTGTCCTCTTTAACAGATGGATAGCGATTAATCCTAACTTAACAGTTTTATAGTCATAAAAAATGGCTATAGCGTAACTACCTATTTTTTGAAGAAGTGACTCTGGATCCTTGTAAAGACACATTTTTGGGGTAAAAACCTTTCCTATAATGAAATGAAGTTTAGAACTAGGCTTTCAAATGGTACCAACGTTGGTGGGAAGTGGGGATGCATACGTTTGATAAGTGCTTGTCGCGGGAGGTGCGATTTATTTAATGCCGAGCGTAGTTCAAGGAGAGGTTCCAGGTAATTTTCTAAGAAAATGAAGAAAAAAATTACTTACAAGGTATAGCGTTCGTGGAATCACTTGGATCTGGTGAGTATTGTGATAATGGAAAATATGGAATATCTAAACACCGATACACCGTACTGCCAGCTGAAAAGAGAAGAAAAGTAAAATGTTATAATCATATTTCTTAAAAATTTAATAATTTGTGAACTGGAGTAGTCAATAGCGGAGAGATAGCGGCGGATGAAACAAAGTCCGCAAATGGAATGGAACTGGCCGCGAAGTATTGCCAAATTGCCAAGTCTGACTTCAAATCCTCTAGTGGTCAATCGTGCCGACAAAGAGTAAGCAAAGGCATAAAACCGGCTTTAATGAAGGAAATGGAGTAGTCACAAGCGGATGGACAGCAGCGGACGCATCGGAGTCCGCAAATGGGATGGAAGTGGGCCGCGGAGTCGGAGCACAATGCATTTCCCGCGGGGCGGATGCGGCGACGCATTGTAGCGGCCGTCGCGCGGAAGTTTCTATTGTGCCGGCCCGCTTTATGCCGCGATCGGGGATTTTTGTAACAGTTTTTAAAAGTACGTTTACGGCACTCGGTTTTGGAACTGGAAGTTGGGATTTGCTTTGGTAATAAGGCTATTTGCAATTTTACTGTACTTTTTGGCATGCATTATAATGTAAAGTAGGTATCAAAAGTTACTTTTTTATCCACCTTTATTAGCTTTTTATTTTTACTCTCTCACAAAGGCTATTGCAATTTAGCAATCGGAATTTATGAGCTAAACAAAACCTTAGTATTTCAAAGGCAAAAGCGAATCCATTAATCCATTAATTCCACCGGGTACGAAAAATCCAAATTAAAAATGAACTTTTTCAAGTTACATCACTTTATTAGTGTCCTGTCGAATCCGGGATAACTTGGTTTAATCTAACAGGAGTCCAACTACAAATTCTCTTTTTTTTAAACTATTGTTAAAGCAACGATAAGTCTTGAAACTTACGATCAGTATGGCATATCCTCCACAGCCCCGACACTGTGTGCTTGGCAACCAGTCCGTGCCGGCCCGTGCCATTGTAGCTGGGATTCAGCATGTTCTCTTCCGTGTGGAGCCAGTTGTTGGTGGAGACAGCCACCAGCACTGCCACCACAGCTGTGCCAGCCGACAAGGGGGTGAGCAGCCAGAGACACGCTACTGAGGAGTCGATCTGCGCGACCACAGTCGGTGACGGGGGCGTTGGCCTGAAATCGAGATAAGGTTATGGTGAATAAAGTGAAATAGTTAAAAGTCAGCAACTGTTCAGTAACTTCGATGTTTTGTTGGTCTTATCAGATATTTAAATACTATGCCTTTATTATGCATGTCTCATAATCTTATTTCCCTACCAGTGCCACGATTAGGCGATAGACAATTTTTAAAATACAAGTTCTAAAATCTGTGGTAAGATTATGAAAACTAACATGTCGCGGTAACGCTGGAATATTCAACATGGAAAATGAGAAGAGCTGAGCGGTATTCCACCGAGAATTCGTTACAGGCTCTATCAAAAAATGCAAATAAAACCGAACCTAACTATCTGGCTGGCGGTCAAAAACTGCTTATCGAGCGCGGGTACAAAATTTGCATAAAAATTGTTTAGCAGCTCAATTTTTACGACCGTAAATCACAGCTCTACGTGAACATAATATATCGGGACGCTGCGCTGGTAATATAAATGCGGTATCCGAATATTGAGACTATTTCGCTTATCCGAACATTCTAGAGATAGCTGAACATCTGACAAATGGGGAAAAGAATATCTAGAATAATTGCTTATGGAACAAGGCAACTAGTTGGTAATAAAGTAATAGAAATCTGCAAACTAGGAATTGGAATCACGTAAATTGTGTTATCACAACTCGGCGAAACCTGCAAAGTTTCAACTTTATTTGACTGAATTCGCATTTTTATTCAAAAGTGTAACTTTTTCGCCGCAGGTAGATACTTCTTTTCGTTAGGCGTTAGTCTTTTGAATTTTCCAGCTCTGATTTGCTCCATTGGGAAATGTTTCGAAAATTTTACCACCATCAAGAAGTTTTTGCATGTCTCTTTTGTTTTTTAGGTTATTGTTTAAAATGAGCAAGTTTTGTAGATTTTTTTTATGTTTATCAAAAATATCGTGATTTCAGCCTTCAGACTGTAAAAATAAAACTACCCTCCATAATAATTTAACTCAATTAGAATCTCTTTCTCAAAAAAATACAATGCCACACGGAAGATGGCATGTCATGAATTACCAAAAAGTAGTAATTTTTCAATACTATGTAACGAGGCTTTGGTTTACTTATGGCCCAAATCAATCGAAGGGCAAGCTGATTATTTGTCATTTTGAAATTATTTAATTTTTATTTTATTATGGTCATTAGAGCGGTGCCGCGGTGTCGGAATGACTGACTCGAGATCCAAGGAACACTGGAACCACTTCGCCGGTAGACTATTACAAGCATTTAATTAGCTTTTCACGAGGGGTTAATGGAACTTTGTATTGCACATTACTATATTCTTCTAAAACAAAGGTTGTTTAAAATTAGTTTACCTGGGCGGGCGGCGGCTGGCGATGGCGCCACTGAGCGTCGGCGCGGGCTGCGCGCGCGCTCCACGTGGCAACGATGCGTGGACGCACTGCGCACCCCCGCCCCACATACCTTCCCTCCGCTTCACTGCAATACAAACAAACATTATGTTTACGTTTGATTATTGAAAGAAAGAAACATTTATTACGATAAACATCACATACTTAAGGACAAAAAAGGTAAAATGGAAAAAAAGACAGAAATAGCACCATTACTAAGAAAGAAAATGTGCCACCCTGTCGTAGCAGCGATGCCCATCGCAATGGGGTCTACTCAGCTATTTGCCGTGGCCCACGGTGAAGAAGGCCACGACCCTGGTTTTTAGTGTTTCAGTTTCAGTATTGGGATTTTGCATTTAGACTAGGTACCCGCATTCTACAGACTGTTCGGACCATAGCTAGCATTTTGTATGAGGAATCAGCCGATACCAAATTGGTGTAATGTGCGTTCTTCCATGCCATGTAACAAGAACTCATGCTTTTCTACTTGAAAATTAATTAATTGAGAAATAGACTATATTTTTGACTTTGTGTTTAAGTACTAGTTTGTTACACTTGTGAAATATCTTCAACATTTCTTATCAAAAGTAAAATATCTACTTATTACACTATTAAAAACAGCGAACAAGATCCAAAGTCAAATTACAATAATTAAAACATATAGGGTGACGGAACCAATCATGGACATGTTAAGCGCACTAAATTCGAATTTCGTTTAAAAAGGGGATGTTTTTTGACGATACAAAAGTGGCGATTTTTTTTTCGGCACTCAAATACATGAGGAACATTTAAACAAAACCAAATATCATGTATGTTTAATAGATAATTAATAAAAAAATTATAAATTGAAATTTACGAAATCACCATTGATGGACATCAAAAATCCAGTAATGGACACCCAGTCATGGACATGGACCCAATTATGAACATCCATTAATGGACACTTTTGTATTGAACACATGAATGAAACAAATAATGTCACAAATCAACTTTTATTACTACTATTTGAACTTTCAACATGATCAGTCTTCGATTTTCAAGTATCAGACTTTCAATCAACCATCTGGTGACAAAATGCGCTTCCGTCGGTATTAAATATCCGGCTGGGTTCATCTAAAACATCTTTTAAACCTATAACTTCTATGTATCTCGTTATTTCATCGAACCATTTGCGAATCCCTTCTTCAGTAACGTCATCCCTCGACTTCGAACGATCAAAATATCGAATTTACAAATGATCAAATGTTCAAAATATCGAATGATTAAAATATCGAAAATCAATAAAGAAGTTTAAACTAAATGTTATAATTATGATGAATATAAATATTTTTTTTATTTTATTTCTAGGGTACCATAGTCAACATCAATAAGATCGATTTTCGAAAGTTTAATTGTTAGATCTTTTGAAGATTATTTCGATCATTTTGTAAATTCTATATTTTAATCGTTCGATGTTTTGAGTTTTCGATGAAACTTGTTTGATATTTTTACTTTCGATCATTTGTTATTCGATATGGCGGAGATAACCCAGGTTATTCGAGGAACATCAAACCGGAGGGCAGCCGTGCTTATCTTTTCCCCCATCTTTACAGCATCCAATGCTCTCCCCATTTGTTTGGGGGTGTAATTTTGTTTTGGTGCCATCTAAGACAAAACAAAGAACCCAATTATGGACAACTAAAAATACCCAGTTATGGACATCGTCCATCATTGGAAAATAAACAGCAATTACAAAATCAACTCAACCCAAATGTTTAGTGCATCAAATTAAATCATTTAATACAATAAACTAAAAAATAAATTAAAAACTTAAGCATGGACACTTGTCCATTACTGAATTTCATAAAATATCGAATCCAGTAATGAACAAACCCCAGTTTATAAAAGTGGAACCCCGAGTGATCTCCAAAACCCATTCTATTATTATATACGATTCGGCTTCGATATCTATAATACAATAGGAGTTTATTTCATGTGTCAGATGACAAGGGTGGAAACAACCTACGATTCATGTTGTTTATTTACGTGCAATATGTGGGCATATTGTAAAAGTGGAATGCCGAGTTGTATTTCTAAAACTTGTTCTATTATTTTATACTATTTGGCTGCGACTCGGCGTGACGACAATACAAAACATTTTTCGCGAATCGGTGTTCATACATTCACACAATACATTAGACGCCATGTTGTCATAAACGACATATTATAAAATCGCTGTGATTTAATATTCTTAATCATTAATTTTATGGCAAGTGTCCATCAGGAATCATTGTTCTTACACACAGAATCGTATTATTTCGCTTTCGGGTAGTAATATGTCAAAATTGTTGGTTCTTTAGGCGAACAATGTATGGAGAACGAACATTGTCCTTTGCAAAAAGACCAGGGTTATTTAAACCCACACAATGAAAGGAAGGAAAGCACACAATTTTGTTTTGTAAATAATAAAAAAGCAATAAACAGCACCCTTTATTGACCCTCAACAATATTTTCGCATCTTTTAAAACTCAACCAATTATCAGAAGTGAAACTCTTTATTTATATTTAATCCCCCAAACAGTCCCTCTATCCTAAACAAATAACGGTTTCTAGTAACAAATCCTGATTAACAAATTTGATGCGGACCGTTCATTAAACCGGTTTAATTTGGGCTGTAATAGTCTAAATCGAACTTTAGGTATCGCACTAAAACTCAATAGATCAATTTAATTGGGTTCTACCGTAATGTGATTAAGGAGTAAGTGCCCTCATCAAGGACGCCCTACGGCCCTCACATTTTTCGGTGGCTGGTATGTAGGTCAAATAAGGCCTATGTTCTAGCCCTTATAAAATATAGTGGGAGAAATGATTATACCTCGAACTAGTTATGGAAAGCAATTTGTTTCTAGAATTTTCCGTTCTTTACCCAATCAAATGACTTAACATATTATAGTTTACCCTTCTAGTAAGTATACGATTCTGTTATTTGCCTAAAATTTAATTTATTGAAAAAAACACAGTAAATTTTTTAATGAATGCGCAGTGAAGTTCTAAGTACAAGTATTTCAAATAACGATATCACTATTAATGATAATTTGAAGACAAAGAGATAAAATACTGGTTAAGTTTAAGTATTAGTGAATTTTCATTAAGCAAGATCAGCATTATTATATAAGCAATGAACCGTGTAACTCTATAATTTTTCGTTGAGAAATTATGCTTGAGGTGCATAATTCAAACGTTCAACTATTTCTAATAGTCCTTGCGCTGTTTAATCACTAATTTAATTGCTTCGCATAACTGGATCAGGAGTATTCTCCCCACTCCATTGTAGGAGTACACGTGATAGTATGCAATCTACTGCATGCATAATTTGCGAACAAAATACCTCGGAGATAAGCACACAATGCACTCGTAGTGCCGTTTGTTATACGATTGTAGTATCGAGTAAATACGGTTTCGATAATGAGATTGAACCGAAAATTATCACATAGTATCTGACGTCAATCGACTGTGATTTAATGATGTTTACAATCATGTTCTGGTACTTGTATTCAACATTCTAGTTAAAGTCAGATACTCGTCCAAGAAGAACTACAGAGTTACAAGGCCTGTTCTTGCAATTTTTTCATTCAGTTACTGCCAGACAACTATTTTCATTCAGCAGGGCAGCGTCCTATCCTATATCTAATACGTTGAATGACGTGGTCTCTTGAAACCTCTATCATAAAATTTAAATGACTTTTTTAGATTTTCTGCGTCCCTAGACCTGATTATGACATACCTGTTTCAGTCTAGATTATCTTTATTGATCCTTCCACATTTTTATTTATTTATTTATATAAAACTTTAATACGAAAATTTTTTTAAAAGGCTATTATTGGCTACGGCTTTCAGGTGGCTTTCAAGCCTGTTCTTAAATAAAAATCATCTTGGGTATAGTGCAAAGAATACTGTAGTTCAGGTTTACATTATAAGACAACTTAATCAGAAAAACTAAATTATTTTATACTACACAGAGTATTCTCAGTAACAGTAGTAACTTAGATCAAATCACGGTGAGGTTATAAATTCAGAGTTTCGCCAGGCGGCAGATCCCCGGGGCGGCGTGTGCCATTTATCTACCCACATAGCAATGAACGAACGTCGTTACTACGCTAACACCTCTATATTTATTCCTTTACGTCTTGCGAATAAGTTAATTACATAATATTGACTTTCAATTGTGTTATTTCCTTGTATATTAAGTTATCAATCGATGATGATAAGAAATGTAGAGATATTAAAAAGAAAGAAATAAAAAAGAGATACGAAAATTATTACTGTAATACTTACTAGATTTTGCCTGGGCGCGGATTTTTATAAATGGGTGTAGCCTATGTAAGATTTCATCAAAATAGGTCAAGATTTCAGTGAAAGAGTAACAAAATACATTTAAATAAGCAAAATCGGAACTCGTGGACAAAAAAAGCCTTAGTCATCGATTGGAATCGCCATGAGATGCAAAAAAAACTTTGAAAAGCTAAAACTAGAAGGAAACTTTTTGATGGAAAAGTCCTGTCATGGAAAACTTTCAAACCTAATTTAAGGCTTCTGGCTTTGAGAGTACCTACTTAACCCTTGTTTGGCAAGTGGTAATAGTAAGTACTAAATGAAGAACATACTCGTATAATCCGCTAAATAAATATTTCATTGGCTTCGTAGCAATACTACCAAAACAACTACAGGTAAGGTAAAAATGGTAGAATTACCTTCCCTTCTTAGGAATATTATTCTGATGTGGAATAGATAGATAAGATAATGAAAAAAAAAACCTTATGGTTGTAACTCTTAAACCAAGTTTTAGAGTAGTTTTTTTTTCAGCTCTATCAAAATCAGTAGACTTTGTTAGTTATTACTTACATATTTTTGCTGTTATGTTTAAGATACAGTAACGAGTACAATCGATTGAATGAATAATAATTAATGACTTTACAATACGAGTTTATGTCCGCGTTCCGTTTTAAACAAACAAATGAATATCATTTACTATGAGCAAATTGAAACTAATGAATCTTTGATGCTTCCGAAACGATGTGCAAACAACATCTGTATCCACCACCACGCCCA